TGTATTTTCTTTCCTTCCTTCTCTGTTACCAGGACAGATTTGATCCTTCCTTGATTCTAAGATGAATAAGTAATGTTCTCCAAGAATTCAAAGGCTTCTTGCAGATGATTACAGGTTGGTAATTTGAACTGTTTATTGCCACCACCTCAAGGAATATCAGAGATGTAAGTTATAATTTTCTTACAAAAGTGTGAGTGCAGGGTAGATTTTACTCTGGTGATATTTATTTATTTCAGGTACTTGTATAGCGCTGTCAATTTACGCAGTGTTTTACACATATATATTGAACATTCACATCAGTCCCTAACCCTCAAGGGGTGTACAATCTAAGGTCCCTAACTCACATACACATATTAGGGCCAATTTAGACAGGATTCAATTAACCTACCAGCATGTCTTTGGAGTGTGTGAGGAAACCGGAGCACTTGGAGGAAACCCACGCAAGCACTGGGAGAACTTGCAAACTTCATGCAGGAGGCACCATGGTCGGGAATCAAACCCATGACCCATTTACTGCAAGGCAGATGTGCTAATCATCACTAAGCCACTGTGCTTAAAACAGCAATGGGCAAACTACGGCCCGGCGGACCTTTTAATCCGGCCCGCGGAGCTAGGCTCCTCTCACAGTCCACCCTGAAGATCGGTGTAGCATGAAAATCTGTCTCCTATGAGGATCTGTCCCCCTCGACGTATCTGCGCATGTGCCGGAGATCGCCGATCGGCTGCTAATGCCTGAAACTGGCACATGCGCAGATACGTTGAGGGGGACAGATCCTCATAGGAGACAGATTTTCATGCTACACCGGAACGGCGCGGGAACACGGCGAGAGGAACGCGCGGAGCAAAGGTAAGTGAATTGACACAGGGAGGACTTGGGGACTTAATATGGGGGATGAATTAATATGGGGGATGAATTACTATAGGGGGAATGAATTACTATAGGGGGGATGATGAATTACTATATGGGGGATGAATTACTATGGGGGATGAATTACTATATGGGGGATGAATTACTATATGGGGGATTAATTACTATGCTTACTATATGGGGGAATATTACTATACTTACTATGGATGACACATACACATCATTCATCTACTCTTGGTCCAGCCCCCGGGTCCAAAATATGAACCCATTGCGGCCCTCAAGTCAAAAAGTTTGCCCACCCCTGGCTTAAAACTTATTAAAACATTTTCATAGGTTATCAATTGTTTAATTTTTATCATGAAAAATATACTCAAAAGACATACAGTATGTACTGTTAGGTGGAAAGCAATAAAGTATAATTTAAGAACAAAATTGCACATAACCTATGATGACAATATTATACTTGACAATGGGGAAGAATTTAAAAAGTTTCATTCACCCTACGCTGGTAAACACCAACCATCCTCAGTTATAAGGAACAACTATAAACATTAAAATGATTCTTCATGGCAAAGTGGCGCTTAAGAAGGATATGATTGCAATATACAAATCTTTAAATGGGAACTCTAGCTTTAGGAGGAAACTAATCTTAGGTATCTAAAAAAGACATGCAGCCATACAGTGAAGTTGACAAGAGGTTGATTCTTAAACTGCATAAGGATTTCTTTACTGATAGAGCGATAAGGATGTGGAACTCCCTTCCACAGTTGGTGGTGTTAGCAGGGAATGTACAAATTCAAAGAACTTTTAGATGTGTTTCTCAGTGAACACAATGTACAGGTGCATTGAAAATGGTAGTGACATACACACAACATGCATTCATGTTGAACTGGATGGACCAGTGTCTGTATTGAACCTTATATGTAGGTATGCATTCCTAGATCTCAACCACTAACCTCACCTAGATATGTTGCCAGTTCTACCTACTCACTTCTAGGGTTTTTCTATATATTCTATTGCACTCAGCCTCCTCCAAATTAGTTTTATTGCTGCTGTGATCTGACTTCCTGTTAGAGGGTGGCTATGCTCATTATCCATGGTCCCACTGTAAGTAGTAACATAGCCTTCCTCTCTTGCTCACTCCCAAAATGGACTATACACTATGGGATGTGTTGTGTGCAAAGAGCAGTGCACATTACCGCAAATAGCGTGCATTTCTCTTTCCAAACAGAAGTGAGAGGGAAAGGAGAGGTTTGGGAGCTCATGGAGGATGTTACAAGGAGACAGAAAAACAAAGCAAGAAACAATTTCATGAAAAAATAAATTACTGGGCCATTATATTATTAATGTGTGTTTTATTTCTGGAAAATAAGGATATTGTTTAGAGCCAGTTTAACCACTCTCTGACCGCGCTTTAGCTGAACGACGGCTACAGAGAAGTTTTCCAGTTCTGAGAGGGCATCATATGACGTCCTCCCAGAACAGCGCCCCCCTGCGTGCCCCCAGTGATCTCCCCCACTCTCACTGATTGCTGTGTCCTTTGGACACAGCTGAACACATGACACGGTAAAAGGGCCAATCACAGTGGCCTTTTACCATGTGATCAGCTGTGTCCAATTACAGCTGATCACCATGTAAACACACTTTCCGGTTATTGGCTTGTGGTTCTTTCCTCACGCGGTCACAGTATGAGGAAAATAATGCCTATAACTGGCAAGTCTGAAAGGAGACATCTATACTGATAATCAGTGCAGCCCCAAAAGTTCCCAGCAGTGCTTCCACCCTGTGCACAGCAATGCTACCAATCTGTACTCATCAGTGCTGCCAATCTGTGCCCAACAGTGCCGCCAGTCAGTGCCACCTATCAGTGCCCTCCAGTGCTGCCTATTAGTGCCCATCAGTGCCGCCTATCAGTGCCCATCATTGCTGTCTATTAGTGCCCATCAGTGCTGCATATCAGTGCAGCCTCATCAGTGCCTCCTCAATACCCACCAGTGCCACCTCATCAGTGCAGCCTATCAGTGCCCATCAGTGCAGCCTCATCAACACACATCAGTGAAGGAGAAAAATTACCTGTTTGCAAATGTTAATATTAGAAATTAAGAAAAACTTTTTTTTTCTTCTAAATTTTCAGCCTTTTTTCGTTTGTTTAGCAAAAAAAAAAAAACACCACCCAGTGGCAATTAAATACCACCAAAAGAAAGCTCTATTTGTGTGAACAAAAATGAGAAAAATGTCATATGGGTACAGTGTTGCATGACACAATTGTGCAACAGCGCTGAAAGCTGAAAATTGGCCTGGGAAGGAAGGGGGGTAAAAGTGCCCGGTAGGCAAGTGGTTAACTGTGCTACTGCTGCTACAGGATGAAATAGACTTTAGATCAAAATAATACAGAGAAATGAAAAATCCCAGCAGGAATAAATTCACCTGTACCCCAGAAAATCCACACAGCTATCTAGAATCTGCCAATAACTGATAAATAGCCTTAGTGGAAGGGCACTGCAATAAATACAGGCCTGTCTATAACGGTTGCAGACCATGTTTCTAAATCTAAGTGTACCCACCATACAATGCCCACTAAATCCTAACAGCATAGTATATTTGTTTGTTATATGTAAAACTATATTAAATCATTGTAAATACATTAAAAATTAAATACATTAGGCTGATAAATCATTGTAGTAGGCACCCCAGTGATCTCGAATTGCTTTCAGGTCTGGTGCTCAGCAGCTGGCTTGATGCATTGTGAACGCAGGAGGTCGGCTGCTCAGCACAGGCGCCATTCAGAAAATGCAAAGTATTCTTTGATTGGATGAGATGCAGAGGTGGGCCGGTGACATCATGTAGAGCATTCTATGAATGACGCCTGTGCTGAACTGCCGACTTCTTGTGTTCACAGTACAGCAGGCCAGCCATCCAGGAGGGACCTGGAAGCAACTGGAGATCACTGCAGTAGAGATGTATACTTGTCATGTCATATCTGGTTACATTGGTCCAATCTGGACCAATGTAACTATGTAAAAAAATACCATACCTGGAATTCTTCTTTAAATACATGGACTAGCAGGAATTTCGTATCAATCAGGTGTTGAACTTTACCAGAAGAAAGAACCAGGCAATCATAATTTAGCCATAGAGAGTTTATTATAAAGTGAAAAGTGATTTGACATTTGCAAAGTCTACTATTTACTGTAGTAAACAAAAAGGACTGTTAATTAATGATGTGAGGAAATACTACTGTACATTTGATGTACAAACCCTGAATCATTAGTTACACCTCATGGCCTCTGTGCTAAAACTTTTCTGGACAGCAGAATAGCTTCACTTTTTATTTACAATTATCTTTTTAAATACAAGAACAAGTCGATTTTACAAGAGTAGAAAGACCACTTCAGTGTTGTCAGACAGGAGATAACCTATTTATTGCATTAAGAACTCTCATCCTAAGAAAGAACTAAAGCAACAATGTAAATACAGCAAGCAACAAAAACAGCAAGGTCTGCATTACACAAGAAATAAAACAAATATGAAGCGCTTAAAAAGAACAGTCAACACTTAGTCTATGGCTTGTATAAAAGAAAAAAGTGCATTGATAAGTGAGATTAATTATTGCAATGCCGCATTAGATTTGTGGGTGCAGGAGATCGATGAAAGAAATACTTAAATGAGGATTTTCTGTGAACCAATACTGTGCAATATACAAGACAGGAACCAGTTCTGATCCTCCTGTAAGTGGTCTGCGATAATTCCTCTGATCGTTAACACTTTACACTTTTGGCAAAACAATCTTTTTGATCTTCTTTTATAAAATAATATTAATAACAATGAACAACTTTTAAAACCCCCAAGCTTTCAAAGATTTAAATAGGTCATTTAAACAACTTACATCAACACGTTAAAAACAACTTATTTACATATAAAGTTTCTGTGGCCCCGTTTATATGCTATAATACAGGTAAAACTGTCATTTTATATTTACATAACACTATTTTCTGTACAGGATATATTTATCCCTTTTTTTTTTCTTTTTTTTTTTTTACAGCTAGACAAGTCCCTGATACATTACATAAAAGTAATGTATTTCAGGCCACATGTGCGCATTAGAGGTTAAATATGACAGATATAGAAATTTCTATTTGTTAGCTTTATTATTGTGCAAGCTCCATAATTCCTCTTTAGAGTCTTTAGAAATAGCTATCTGCCTTGTATTACTGCTGCTTTTTCGATGACTTTTCGGTATCGGAAGTAAAGATTTGACTTTCGAGGAACTCTGTTCTGGTTTTGGCTTCTGATCGCTAAACTGTGACATCTGGCTGCTGTGAGAGGACAAGCCCCATTCTGTAAATACAAGAATATTGATTAAGTCGTTTATGGAAATCGCAGGGAAAAAAAAGCCAAAAGCCATGATGTTGAGATGTGGAAATAATCCTTAAAGTGATTATAAAGCTTTCATTTTTTTAATAAAAATAATAAACATGTTATATTTACCTGCTCTGTGCAGTGGTTTTGCACAGAACAGCCCCGAACCTCTACTTGTTGTGTCCCCTGCCAACGCACTTGACTGCTCCTCTTCTTGGAGTGCCACCATAAGAAGCTGCATCCTACGGGGGTGCACCTGTGGTCTCGCTCCCATCTATAGACACACATAGTGAGGCTCAGTCCTGCCTTCCTCCTCACAAGATTTGATTGGCAGCAGCAGGAACCAATGGCTCCCACTGCTCACTAAGTCCTGTGAGGAGCAGAAGAGAAAGCAGCACTGCTGCACTTGTGTACAGCTTTGAATCGAGATAGAACTCAGGTAAGTATTTAAGAAGGTGAGGGTAATTTGTTACCTTAATGCAGGGAATGCATTAAAGTAAAAACATGTCCTGCCTTTAGAACCACTTTAAAAACAAGCAAAGACCGAAACATTTTCACATAGGCATCAGGTATGTTGCTTTCAAATGCTATGTACTTTGTGTCTATATTCTGCATTTAGACCTCTTTATATATTGGGTGACATTACTTTGTGGTTATACCCAAAATGCTATACAAGAAACACCACAAAGGGCATCTCTAATATAAGCAGATGATATCCCTGTGTTGAATGACAGACTTCTAGAGGAAAGGTAATTGGTAGACATACTTTGGTTTTCACACAAGTGCCAGCAACCATTGTGGCTGGAGCTATAGATAGAACCGAAAATATGTCACCAGCAAACCAAGATTTCTCCAAACGGGCCCAAAGCTTTATTCAGCGGTCACAGCAAATTAACAAAGGTAATGTTTCAGAGCCACACAGGGCCCCTTCATCAGGCAAGTCACTTGCTGCGAATGATATAGCAGTCCTGATTGGCTCTGAAACTTTGCCTTTGTTAACATGCTGTGACCACTGAATAAAGCTTTGGACCCCTTTGGAGAATCCATGATGTGCTGGTGACATATTTTCAGCTTTGAATGTGTATGGTTTCCAGCCGATGGTCACTGCAGCACCCACTGACACCTAAAAGCCAGTTCCAGGATTGTGTGCGTTTGGGATATTACAATTCTTCCTACAAGGTAAGCACTGAGGCTAGGAACAGCATTTTGAACACTTCAGTATCCCATCTACCACATTGTATTGTTTTGCCTCAACGTTCTGCGTGCAATAAAGATATTCGTAGGTGCCAAGTGTTTGGTCAGTTCAGCTATCTGATAACAGTTGTCTGCAGTGATTGTCCTTGGCCAGTCATAGAGGTAAGTCACTTTTACAACAATTGGAGTCAGAATAATGATCAATTAGATCTCTGTTCACCATCCCCTTCTTCAGTTATCATTTTGTACCAAAGGAAGTAAAAAGTGCTAAAAATAAAACATGGCCCCTTTATTTGCATACAAGCACGCGTGGACATAATATCTGCACATACTGTGCAGCTGCACAAGGCCCCTCCAGAGTTTAGGGGGGGTTTACACTATAATAGCTATGGGTCAGAGGGATACTGGGACACCTGCCACCTGGACATCACTTACTTCTACCAAGCTGTCAATCAATGCACTGTGAACTTGGGTTTTTACTTGGCCAGTAGTTGAATGTGCTGCCCAAAAATTTTCCTTACACAGGGCCAACTTAGTGACTTTTTCTGCCACTGCATACCAGGTCTTCTCTACTAAAGCTACATTCACAACTCTGATTTTTGATATGCTGAAATTGCAGCACAATATACTTTAGATGTATTTTCAACACTTTTATTGTATTGGCATTCATCCCCAAGTGACTTGCTGCAAATTGCACTAGAGTTGCAAAACAAGGCACAAAACTGGCCCAGGAGACATATACAAAAACAACTTTATGGCAGGTAAAATGGAAATGGATTTTAAATGATCACAGAAGTCTTTCAAACGGATACCATCAACACAAGCCCTACTGAAAAACACACCACTGAGTAGCCATTGCACAATACTACCCAGCAGCGTGGGAAACAACATGTAAACAACATCAGAGTGCTGCGAGTCAGCAAGTTGCATGTGGGGTCTGAGGTATTGTGAAGAGTGAGAAAGGGATAACAAAGAGATTTATACCTTACAAAGTTTGACATTTTATTTGACACATCAGTACACATTTCCCCCATAGCGTATAACAATTCTTGAAAGCATACTTGCAAGTATGCTTTCAAGAATTGTTATACTCTATGGGTGAAATGTGTACTGATGTGTCAAATAAAATGTAAAATTTTCTTTTAAAAAACTGTCTGATTTATATATTTTAAGGTTGCCTTAAAAATCTCTTTGTTAGAAAAATAGGGATGATGGCAACCACACCCTGGGTTATACCGGATGACTCTTATCTAGATTGAGAAAGGGATTAGAGAACTGTTTCTTATAATTTACTACTTTAAAATCTGATAAACATTTTCAGACTGATGGAACAAAAAATGGAGAATAAACTTCAAAGAACAGCAATTATACTTTGCAGCCCAAAGTTGGTTTTGGCAGCTGTCAGCAGAGACATCCATTCAAATACTCATCGGCAACACCAGCAGCAATCTGCGCTCTGTATCAGGTGCTCTTTAGATTTAGGTTCGGTTTCCTTTCCAAGTTTGGGCCTTTGCATTATTTCATTTGATTTTTCTTTACAGCCCTATTTCTGGTTTCTAGAAAAAGAAGTATGTTTGTTGTAGGCCTCTGTTGTGGTATACTCACTTTACGTGGCTTTTGAGAGTTCTGTTTTTTACCGTTTGCTGAATTCTGGTCATTCGGAGGGCTCTTAAAGATCACCAGGCAATTATCCAAGTCTGCAATCTAAGGAGAAGCATACCAATATTTCATTACTATCAGACCAATAGAATCACACAGGATTTCAAAACAAGCAGGGAGGGTTTGAATTAGGCTCAGTCTATTAACCCCTTGGCGCCGGCGCCTCCCTGCCTTTTTAAGGTTTCAGAAGCCGGGAGGCAGGGCTTTAGGGTCATGTGACCGCTGTGATTTGCCATCACGGTGGTCACATGATCGGGAAAGGTCCCAATCGGAAGAGAGGAGATCAGGGGCCTTTCCGTGAGTACCGGACATGTGTGCTGGGAGCGCGCAGGGCACGCGCTCTCAGTACATATGTTTTTCTTACTTGCACACAAATGTGCGGCTGCTCGGCGTCTAGGCCCAGACACATTTGTGTGCGACCGGCGTGAAGAGGTTAAACACTTTCCTTACATGAAACTTGAAAGCTACCAGGTCTGACATGAGAAACCCCAGCTTATGAAACAGAATCAGGATTATCAAACTTACTTGAAGTGATATTAAAAAAATAACAATGATGTTATACTTACCTGCTCTGTGCAGTGGTTTTTTTACAGAGCAGCCCTGATCCTCCTCTTCTTGGGGCCCCTGCCAGCACACCTAGCCCCTCCTTCTGGGTGTCCCCAGAGCACCAGCTTGCTATGGGGGCAACCAATCAGGCTCGCTCCCAAGCTGCTGCTCTGCGTGTCCATTAATACACAGAGCCGCAGCTCGGCCCCGCCCCTCTCTCACCTCATTGGCTAACTGGCTGTGATTGACAGAAACGGAATCCATTTACCTTCATGCATAGAATACATGAAGGTTAAAAATCTTGAGCCTTTAGAACCACTTTGAAGGATAGGTGGGTATTTTCAACCAATGTAGGTTTTAAATTATTATTTGGTCAATATTTTTGTCAATGTGACATTTTTACATACACAATGCTATGAATTGTGTATACAATTATGTTGATTTCTCTCTGTACAGCTAATAATTTTAAATCAGGAAGTGAACTCAGCAACTGCTGAAACAGAAAGCTAAGTCTTCTAATTTGTGAATTTAGTACACACAATGAGAAAATCGAACTGCTTTTGGAGCAAACGATAAGCTGATCGTGAGTACACAGTTTTCAAAAGCCGAACATGACAGTTCATGCAAAATTATCTAAAGGGACAAGCACGAAAATTCTTCTCATAAGATAATATAGCGAATTATTTCCATTTAATCAGTGAAGTATTCGTCATAAAAAATCAAATGACCGAGACTGCGCATGATCGGAAACTTGAAGTTAACCAGGTGAAAGGGCAATGAAAACAATCTTCATTTACATTGAAAATGCTCCTAAACATAAAAAAAATATATATGTTTTACAGGATAGAAATATGAATGATCATTCATCCAATTTTCTCATCCTGTGTACTAGACCATATCGTTTTCAGTAGAGAAGAGAACAGTAAAGCTCTATCACTGTGCAGCACTACTTATCTTACCTACTGTAGGCATTTGTACAAACTAAGTATATGAAGTTGGTCAAGCATATCTTCAAAAAAGGACTCTCTAGTGTTTTTAATGATTAAGATTAGAGATGAGCGAAGTATTCAAAAATTCGATTCGACTGATTCGGCGAATTCGTGGAAAAATTTCGATTCGAGTCGAATATATTCGCTGCGAATTTAACTTATAAAAGGGTGTTTCTAGGCTTCAGAGAGACTTTATATTAGTGCAGAACACTGTACCTTTAATTTAAATGCCCTTGGAGTCTGCTGGGGAAGAGAAATAATACTGACAGTCAGTATGACATGCAGATGAGTGCCGTCGATCTTAGAATCACCACACACTTCACTCATTTGGGCAGTCACGGGGCCAAAACCAGAGTGTGGAGCCACAGTGTGGCGGTGGAGGCAGCAGCAATGGGAGGCCATACAGCACCCTATGACAAAAATGGAAACCATTAGCAGTGTGAGGAGACCTGAAAGTGGCACATGGCAGAGTGTGGCGATGGAGACAGCAGCAATGGGAGGCCGTACAGGGACCCATGACACACTCTGGACCTGGCAGCAGCATGAGGAGGCGGTACAGGGGCCCATGACAGATTACGGGCCTGGCAGCAGCATGAGGAGTTGGTACGGGGGCCCATGGCAGATTACGGGCCTGGCAGCAGCAATGGAGGCCGTACAGGGACCCATGACACACTCTGGACCTGGCAGCAGCATGAGGAGGCGGTACAGGGGGCGCATGACAGATTACGAGCCTGGCAGCAGCAACTTGGACAGGAGGACGTTCAGCTTCTGCACCGTCGGGTGCGTGCTCGCAAACTGTTGTTTCTCTTGGAAACGGATTCCAAGAAAGACTGCTGACGGAATCCGTGAAGAGGAGTAGCAGGAGAAGGAGCATCTGAACGAGCGGAATATGCCAACAAGCGACAACAGGGGCCCATGACAGATTACGGGCCTGGCAGCAGCATGAGGAGTCGGTACGGGGGCCCATGGCAGATTAGGGGCCTGGCAGCAGCTATGGGAGGCCCGTAATCTGCCAGCACCCTATGACAAAAAATGGAACCCACCAGCAGTGTGAGGAGACCTGAAAGTGGCACATGGCAGAGTGTGGCGATGGAGACAGCAGCAATGGGAGGCCGTACAGGGACCCATGAGAGACTCTGGACCTGGCAGCAGCAGCATGAGGAGGCGGTATATAGGGGCCCATGGCAGATTAGGGGCCTGGCAGCAGCTATGGGAGGCCCGTAATCTGCCAGCACCCTATGACAAAAAATGGAACCCACCAGCAGTGTGAGGAGACCTGAAAGTGGCACATGGCAGAGTGTGGCGATGGAGACAGCAGCAATGGGAGGCCGTACAGGGACCCATGACAGACTCTGGACTTAGCAGCAGCATGAGGAGGCGGTATAGGGGCCCATGGCAGATTAGGGGCCTGGCAGCAGCTATGGGAGGCCCGTAATCTGCCAGCACCCTATGACAAAAAATGGAACACACCAGCAGTGTGAGGAGACCTGAAAGTGGCACATGTTTGGGGCATGATTCATGGCGGATTTAGTCAGTTGTGTCAGGAACTGGTGGTTTGAAATCCAGACTAATCCACGCCTGATTCATTTTCACAAACGTGAGTCTCTCTCCAGCACTTTGGGTGGACAGTCGTGTCCTCCGCGGAGTTGCAATACCTCCTGCCGGCACTAACACACGCGCTCCGATGCCACGCTACTGGCCGGGCATGACAGCCTTTCAAGGGCAAATTCAGCTAGTTGGGGCCAAAGGTCAAGTTTCGTTGCCCAGTAGTCAAGGGGATTGTCTACCTCGGTTGGCAGGGTGCTGTCCAAGTAGGCCTAAGCCTGTTGTTTAGGTCCTGCTCCAGGTCCACCTGATGCTGCTGCTGTCTGCTGCATGCTGCGGCTGGTTAGTAGTTTCCTCACTGCGCTGGTAAAGAAAGCTACTCATCATCGACTGCAGACTGAGGCAGCCGCTGCTGGTGGAGAGCTGCCACTGCTCCTACCACCACCACCACCCCTCCCCCTGCTGCCATGGCAGCGGAACGCGAGCGGCACAGGGCCCACAGTGTCTGAGGATGGACGTTGGCGCAGACAGGCAGAGACCAGCTGACTACATAGGTGGTTTTTATAGTACGTTATTTTTGGCCTCCCTCTCAGCAGGGTGTGAAAAAGGCCACCATTTTTGAACGGTTAGCGAGGGTCCAACAAGGTGGACAGCCAAAAGTCATCCCTCTGTCTGATGGTTATTATTCGGCTGTCGGTACGCAAGCAAGCGAGCATGCTATGGGGCCATTGTGTGCCAAGGAATGCGAGGGACTCCCTGCCTCCATCTCCACAGCATACTGCCACGGTGCGTCTGGGTCCTCTGTCTCCTCTTCCTCCTCCTCTACCAGATGCTCCTGCTCCTCCACTCCTGTCCGCTGAGTGGAAAAAACCACCCATTTCACTCAATAATTCCTGAGCACCCAATGTCCTCCTCTACCTCTCCTCCTCTTCTTCCTGTCCTGCCCCCACAGGGGTCATGTGGCGTTGAGATCTGTGCGCCACGTCTACCGCACCCTGACCAGCATTGTTAACAGCATTTGTTCCAGGACGTGCAACAGAGGAATGACGTCGTTCATCCCATAGTCCTGCCGACTCACGAATAGCGTGGCCTCCTCAAAGGGCCTGAGCAAGCGGCAGGTGTCACGCATGAGCTGCCAATGGCTGACATCTAAGTTACACAGGGGAGTACCTTTATGATCCGCTTTTAAACATCAGGAAATCTGTGATGGCCTTTTGGCTGTTCGTAAAAGGCGGTCTAACATATGTAGGGTTGAATTCCACCTTGTTGCAACGTCGTCAGAAACAATTTAGTAACACACAGCATGAGGAGTCGGTACGGGGGCCCATGGCAGATTACGGGCCTGGCAGCAGCAATGGGAGGCCCGTAATCTGCCAGCACCCTATGTCAAAAAAATTCAACACACCAGCAGTGTGTGAGGAGACCTGAAAGTGGCACATGGCAGAGTGTGGCGATGGAGACAGCAGCAATGGGAGGCCGTACAGGGACCCATGAGAGACTCTGGACTTCGCAGCAGCATGAGGAGGCGGTATATAGGGGCCCATGGCAGATTAGGGGCCTGGCAGCAGCTATGGGAGGCCCGTAATCTGCCAGCACCCTATGTCAAAAAATTGAACACACCAGCAGTGTGTGAGGAGACCTGAAAGTGGCACATGGCATGAGACACAGTGGACCTGACAGCCCATGAGCATGAGGAGGCATGTACAGGGGCCCATGGCAGATTAGGGGCCTGGCAGCAGCTATGGGAGGCCCGTAATCTGCCAGCACCCTATGTCAAAAAATGGAACACACCAGCAGTGTGTGAGGAGACCTGAAAGTGGCACATGGCAGAGTGTGGCGATGGAGACAGCAGCAATGGGAGGCCGTACAGGGACCCATGAGAGACTCTGGACTTCGCAGCAGCATGAGGAGGCGGTATAGGGGCCCATGGCAGATTAGGGGCCTGGCAGCAGCTATGGGAGGCCCGTAATCTGCCAGCACCCTATGACAAAAAATGGAACACACCAGCAGTGTGTGAGGAGACCTGAAAGTGGCACATGGCATGAGACACTGTGGACCTGGCAGCAGCATGAGGAGGCGGTTCAGGGGCCCATGGCAGATTAGGGGCCTGGCAGCAGCTATGGGAGGCCCGTAATCTGCCAGCACCCTATGACAAAAAAATGGAACACACCAGCAGTGTGAGGAGACCTGAAAGTGGCACATGGAGAGTGTGGCGATGGAGACAGCAGCAATGGGAGGCCGTACAGGGACCCATGAGACACTCTGGACCTGGCAGCAGCATGAGGAGGCGCTATAGGGGCCCATGGCAGATTAGGGGCCTGGCAGCAGCTATGGGAGGCCCGTAATCTGCCAGCACCCTATGTCAAAAAAATTGAACACACCAGCAGTGTGTGAGGAGACCTGAAAGTGGCACATGGCAGAGTGTGGCGATGGAGACAGCAGCAATGGGAGGCCGTACAGGGACCCATGAGAGACTCTGGACTTCGCAGCAGCATGAGGAGGCGGTATAGGGGCCCATGGCAGATTAGGGGCCTGGCAGTAGCTATGGGAGGCCCGTAATCTGCCAGCACCCTATGACAAAAAAAAATGGAACACACCAGCAGTGTGAGGAGACCTGAAAGTGGCACATGGCATGAGACACTGTGGACCTGGCAGCAGCATGAGGAGGCGGTACAGGGGCCCATGGCAGATTAGGGGCCTGGCAGCAGCTATGGGAGGCCCGTAATCTGCCAGCACCCTATGACAAAAAATGGAACACACCAGCAGTGTGTGAGGAGACCTGAAAGTGGCACATGGCAGAGTGTGGCGATGGAGACAACCCCACCGACTGTTTTGCTCGCTGCCAAGCTGCCACCCTCTTCTCCTGATGATGCGGAAGCAATAGCCTGATGACGACGAGGCTGCCAAGTGCGATCAGCCTCATCATCATCAATTAGGGTCTCCGCCTCACTACTAGCCCCCCTCGGCTGCGTGTGGGTCAGGAGACAGACCCTGTCTCTAGACCGGCTACCGAGCCACTCTCCTCGCCACTACTTCTTCGCCTGGCTGCTGAAGAGGCGGATGTCTCCACCCGTTCCTGACCGCCCTCTGTTAGCTCTTCCTCACTGTACTGGATGACACCGGGAGCACTGGCCTCTGGCTGCGAATAGTGCTGCCCTCGACCCCTTCCTCTGCTGCCACGTCTGCTCGCTCCTAAAACATTGCCTCCTCTGCCACTCCTCTGCATGTTGTCTGACATACTCTTTAATTCAACGATTCTGTGTCCCTGAGTAACAATTCTGTGTCTGTCCCTGAGTAACAATTCTGTGTCCCTGAGTAACGTTTCTGTGGCCCTAAGTAACAGTTCTGTGGCCCTCAGTAACAGTTCTGTGGCCCCTCAGTAACAATTCTGTGTCCCTCAGTAACAATTCTGTGTCCCTGAGTAACAATTCTGTGTCCCTCAGTAACAATTCTGTGTCTGTCCCTGAGTAACAATTCTGTGTCTGTCCCTGAGTAACAATTCTGTGTCCCCTGAGTAACAATTCTGTGTCCCTCAGTAACAATTCTGTGTCCCTCAGTAACAATTCTGTGTCCCTGAGTAACAATTCTGTGTCTGTCCCTGAGTAACAATTCTGTGTCCCCTAAGTAACGTTTCTGTGTCCCTAAGTAACGTTTCTGTTGCCCTAAGTAACGTTTCTGTGGCCCTAAGTAACGTTTCTGTGGCCCTAAGTAACGATTCTGTGGCCCTCAGTAACAATTCTGTGTCCCTCAGTAACAATTCTGTGTGTCCCTGAGTAACAATTCTGTGTCTGTCCCTGAGTAAGAATTCTGTGTCTGTCCCTGAGTAACAATTCTGTGTCTGTCCCTGATTAACAATTCTGTGTCCCTGAGTAATGTTTCTGTGGCCCTCAGTAACAGTTCTGTGTGGCCCTAAGTAACAATTCTGTGTCCCTCAGTAACAATTCTGTGTCCCTCAGTAACAATTCTGTGTCTGTCCCTGAGTAACAATTCTGTGTCTGTCCCTGAGTAACAATTCTGTGTCCCTGAGTAACGTTTCTGTGGCCCTAAGTAACAGTTCTGTGGCCCTCAGTAACAATTCTGTGTCCCTCAGTAACAATTCTGTGTCTGTCCCTGAGTAACAATTCTGTGTCTGTCCCTCAGTAACAATTCTGTGTCCCTCAATAACAATTCTGTGTCTGTCCCTAAGTAACAATTCTGTGGCCCTAAGTAACGATTCTGTGGCCCTCAGTAACAAATCTGTGTCCCTCAGTAACAATTCTGTGTCTGTCCCTAAGTAACAATTCTGTGGCCCTAAGTAACGTTTCTGTGGCCCTAAGTAACGGTTCTGTGGCCCTCAGTAACAATTCTGTGTCCCCTCAATAACAATTCTGTGTCTGTCCCTAAGTAACAATTCTGTGGCCCTAAGTAACGTTTCTGTGGCCCTAAGTAACGATTCTGTGGCCCTCAGTAACAATTCTGTGTCTGTCCCTAAGTAACAATTCTGTGGCCCTAAGTAACGATTCTGTGGCCCTAAGTAACGTTTCTGTAGCCCTAAGTAACGTTTCTGTAGCCCTAAGTAACGTTTCTGTGGCCCTAAGTAACAATTCGTTTCTGTGGCCCTAAGTAACGGTTCTGTGGCCCTCAGTAACAATTCTGTGGCCCTCAGTAACAATTCTGTGTCTGTCCCCTAAGTAACAATTCTGTGGCCCTAAGTAACGTTTCTGTGGCCCTAAGTAACGTTTCTGTGGCCCTAAGTAACGATTCTGTGGCCCTAAGTAACGTTTCTGTGGCCCTCAGTAACAAATCTGTGTCCCTCAGTAACAATTCTGTGTCTGTCCCTAAGTAACGTTTCTGTGGCCCTAAGTAACGGTTCTGTGGCCCTAAGTAACGGTTCTGTGGCCCTCAGTAACAATTCTGTGTCCCTCAATAACAATTCTGTGTCTGTGTCCCTAAGTAACAATTCTGTGGCCCTAAGTAACGTTTCTGTGGCCCTAAGTAACGGTTCTGTGGCCCTCAGTAACAATTCTGTGTCCCTCAATAACAATTCTGTGTCTGTCCCTAAGTAACAATTCTGTGGCCCTAAGTAACGATTCTGTGGCCCTCAGTAACAAATCTGTGTCCCTCAGTAACAATTCTGTGTCTGTCCCTAAGTAACAATTCTGTGGCCCTAAGTAACGTTTCTGTGGCCCTAAGTAACGGTTCTGTGGCCCTCAGTAACAATTCTGTGTCCCTCAATAACAATTCTGTGTCTGTCCCTAAGTAACAATTCTGTGGCCCTAAGTAACGTTTCTGTGGCCCTAAGTAACGATTCTGTGGCCCTCAGTAACAAATCTGTGTCCCTCACTAACAATTCTGTGTCTGTCCCTAAGTAACAATTCTGTGGCCCTAAGTAACGTTTCTGTGGCCCTAAGTAACGATTCTGTGGCCCTCAGTAACAAATCTGTGTCCCTCACTAACAATTCTGTGTCTGTCCCTAAGTAACAATTCTGTGGCCCTAAGTAACGATTCTGTGGCCCCTCAGTAACAAATCTGTGTCCCTCAGTAACAATTCTGTGTCTGTCCCTAAGTAACAATTCTGTGGCCCTAAGTAACGTTTCTGTGGCCCTAAGTAACGATTCTGTGGCCCTCAGTAACAATTCTGTATCCCTCAGTAACAATTCTGTCTGTCCCTGAGTAACAATTCTGTGTCCCTAAGTAACTTTTCTGTGGCCCTAACTAACGATTCTGTGGCCCTAAGTAAACGTTTCTGTGGCCCTATGTAACGTTTCTATGGCCCTAAGTAACGATTCTGTGGCCCTAACTAACGTTTCTCTGTCCCTAAGTAACGTTTCTGTGTCCCTAACTCTCTCCCTGCATACAGCCAGGTCTGCCTCTGTTGAATGACTGGAGGCAAATGGAGAATTCTAAAATGGCCGCTATTTATAGCTCGACCATTACACTGTGCTGGCTGGCTGGCTGCTGATTGGCTAACGCGATCACATGTCATGAATGAATGCATTATGGGTCAGCGCGCCTTGTCTGCGCGCCTTCCCAGACATCCCCGCTCCGTCGCCGCACATGTCGCCGCCATTTTAGGAAAAATTTCGATTCGCGCATCCGAAGTCTGCTTATTTTCGGATTCGACGCGAATCGAAATTTTCCTAATATTCGAAACGAATTCCACTTCGCCTACTTCGATTCGCTCATCTCTAATTAAGATCTAAAACATGTAAAAAGCTGCTTTCCATGGTAGGAAAAGAAACCACCAATTCTCATTTTGGCACCACAGATTATAGAGCGCTACAACGACTTAAAAATTGAGCAGTACAAATTCTCAACAATGTCACATCCTTTACCTTGGTAATGTCTGGTTCTGACTTGCTGGAACACATTGCTCGTAATTCTTTCACAAGGTCCATCTCATCATCTGAACCAGCTGACAGTCTCTGTTCCATGTGGAGAGACTTTGGATGAACAGCTTCCAGAGATCTATTGAAATCAGAGGGTGCTTTGTCATTGCAAAAATGTTATATTATGTATTTATTTCTATATTGCCAAACAAGGGGGTCTCATTTCTACAGCTGCAGGTGGACCAAGGGCCTGTTCACACCACATCATAGTATCCTGCATGCTTGTGTGATGTGGTGCTACACACAGTCTGAATAGCTCCCAAATGCACCTTTCACGGCACTAGTGTTGCAGCACGTGGCAGTACCATAACATGCACAACAGTGTGCTGGATAAAATGCTACATACACGATTTTTTGGTCCACTGTGGTGTGCCACAATGCGCAATAATGTGTGGTGCAATGTGCATGCTTTTAACATACTACAGAGGACTAGGCCAATTTTACCCTTATGTCTCAAAACTGAACCTGCCACTGGGCCCCAAACCAAAGAGCCATAATATTGCAAATGAAAAAATGATGGCTTAAATAACACATTGTGAGAATTTGTAAATTGCTGCATGTCCTCATACCTGGTGACCAGGTCCGGACTGGGACATAAAATAGGTCCGGGCATTTTAGACTGAGCAACCAAGGGATTGGGGGGGGAAAGGGGATGGTGGGTGGTCGTTTGTGGGGGTGGTTGGTGCTGTGATGTTCACGGAGTTGGTCCTCTACAATGTGATGTAAAGGGGCACTGTGGTATAAAAGGGGACTGCACTGTAAAGGGGAACTGTTTTGATTACAGTGCCCTTTTACAGTGCAGTCCCAGTTATATTACAGTGCCCCTAGCAGTTATGTTCGCCTTTTCTCTCTAATCAGAGTGCCCCCTTTTTACTCTCTGCTTCCCCTGCACAGTCCTACCTTTGGAAAGAGACATCCCCATATATTTCAGCAAAGAGACAGCCAGCAAAGAGAAATCCCCACACAGAAAAGAGACATCCCCATATAGCAAAAAGACATCCAAATTCAGCAGAGATATCCCAATCCAGCAGAGAGACATCCCAATCCAGCAGAGAGCCATCCCCACAAAGCAAAGAGACAACCCAAGCCAGCAAATAGACATCCCTATCCAGCAAATAGACATCCCCATATAGCGATGAGACAGCCCTATCCAGCAATGAGACAGCCCTATCCAGCAAGGAGACATCTCCATACAACAAAGAGATAGCCCCATCCACCTAAGAGACAGTCCAATCCACCAAAGAGACAGTCCAATCCACCAAAGAGACAGTCCCATATAGTAAAGAGATGGCCCAATCCAGCAAAGAGACATCCCAATCCAGCAAAGAGACATGCCATTATAACAAAGAGACAGCTCCATATAGCAAAGAGACTGCACAATCCACCAAAATGACAGCCCAATCCAGCAAAGAGACATCCCCATATATCAAAGAGATGGTCTAACCCAGCAAAGAGACAGCTCCATATAGCAAAGAGATGGTCCAATCCAGAAAAGAGACAGTCCATACAACAGAGAGATGGCTAATCCAGCAAAGAGACAGTACCATTCAGCAAAGAGACATCCAAATTCAGCAAAGGGACATCCAAATCCAGCAAAGAGACAGCTCCATATAGCAAAGAGATGGCCCAACCCATCAAAGAGACAGCCCAGTCCAGCAAAGAGACATCCCAATCCAGGAAAGAGACAGTCCAATTAAGCAAAGAGACATCCCAATCCAGAAAAGAGACAGTCCAATTAAGCAAACAGACATCCCACATCCAGCAAAGAGACATCAAGGAGATGGCCCAAGCCAGCAAAGAGACAGCCCAATACCCCCCCCCCCACACACCTCTGCTACAGAGAGGGATGTGTGGCTTTAGCACACACTGCACTCACCTTCCTCCCCTGTGCAGCTGTCATGGTTAGGAGAGAGCCCACCATGGTCTCATGCAGTGCATTTCCAGTGGCCGGCTTGGGAAGTATGTGTTCCCTGCTGGAAGGTCCTCTTTTGTACCTCTTAATTTGCTGGAACTTGCCCTGCTGTAAGCATGGCTGCACAGCAGGCGGCGAGCGGTGGCCGCGGTCTATATTAACCCTGTCCAGACCGCGGCCGCCACCTACCTTCCGCTGTGCAGTCCAGTCATCAACAGGCCATTCAACTTAGGACACTGGCAAATAACCGGTGTGCCCTATGGCCAGTCCGTGCCTGCTGATGACTACATTGTACATAGAGGGTCCCTTTCTCACCAAGTTTAATCAGAGAACCTATACTTGAATTCAGGAATAGGTACTTGTCAGAGGGGCTTGAATAAGTTTCTGTGGGCTGCTCGGGTAAAGGAGCACCATTTGTATAGTTCTACATTTAATCTGCCATTGTCACTTAAACTGCTGCTTGTACATAAACATTGTCAAATGTTATGCCATTTGCTGCCATAAGCAAGACATCAGACACTCTGGGCTTTATAGTGCAATACCTCATTCCCTGCTAATGGTACACAAATATATAGAACGCTATATTTTGCGAAGACTTCCTTGTAAATAATTGTGGGTCTTGGATGATTAATTTAGAGTGATAATAAGTGATGAGTACTCATTAGGGCATGTGTCGATGTGCTTTGGGATTGTGACAATGGCATCAGTTTGACATCAATTTGAGATGCTTCTATAATTGTTTAACTGGTGCATCTGACCTACAGTTGACCATCTTCTGACCTGCATCAAGAGGATTTTGAATTCCTGTAGACTTGTATGGGAATATATAACCCAATTAAAGTCAACAAAAGCCCACCAACACAAGCCCCAATAAAACAGGGATGATACTATTGTAGGATGAAGAGTTTGTCCAATAAAAGGGCCAGGGTGACATATTATGGGTGCTCTTGACACTGAGTGGCTTGACACTGCTTCTGATAAACCACACGGGAAACCTCAATTCTTTTCAGCCAGCAGGAAAGACAATGAACATACTTTTTCTTGGTTAGTGAAGAACTGACTCCTGTCTTCAGGTCATTCTTTGAAATGTCACCTGTGATAGAAGATAAATGAAACAACCTGTAACTAAAAAAGTAGCAATCGGGAGCTTTCCGTTAGCCACCGGTAATTGTGTCGGGAGCATGCACTTTGCGTGCTCTCGGAACAGTTCTGGGTTTTTTGGAAATGCATATATGTGGCCTCTCGGTGGTAAGGCCCACATGCCGATAGCCTGCATATATGCGTGTGGCTGATGGGAAGGAGTTAAAAGCCACCTGTTATGAAGAAAATATGTGCCAGGCAGCCAGAATTTCAGAAGGGGAATCAGCAATGGTAGCTTCCATCATTGTCTTATACAGTTGCAAGAAAAAGTATGTGAACCCCTTGGGATTTTGTGGAGTTTTGCATGAATTGGGCATAAAATGTGCTCTGAACGTCATCTAAGTCACAACAATAGAAGAACACAGTCTGCTGAACATAATACTACACAAACATTAGATGTTGCCATGGTTTAATTGCACATAACATGTAAACATTCACAGTGCAGGGAGGAAAAAGTATGTGAGGCCCTAGCTTAATGACTTCTCCCAGAGCTAATTGGAGCCAGGAGTGAGCCAACCTTGACTCCAATCAGTGTGATGATATTGGATGTGTTGCTGACAGCTCTCCTGCCCTTAAAAAACACACACCTGTTTTGGGTTTACTGTTTCAAGAAGCACTGTCTGATGTGAACCATGCCTCGCAGAAAAGAGCTCTCAGAAGACCTACGATCAAGAATTGTTGACTTGCATGAAGCTGGAAAGGGTTACAAAAGTATCTCCTTGAGCCTTGATGTTCATGTGTCCACGGTAAGACAGACTGTCTACAAATGGAGAAAGTTTAGCACTGTTTGCTACTCTCCCTAGGCGTGGTCGTCCTGTAAAAATGACTGCAAGAGCACAGCACAGAATGCTGCATGAGGTAAAGAAGAATCCCAGAGTGTCAGCTAAAGACCTACAGAAATCTCTGGCACATGCTAACATTTTTGTTGACACATCTACAATAAGGAAAACATGAAACAAGAATGGAGTACATGGGAGGACACCACGGAGGAAGCCATTGCTGTCCAAAAAGAATATTGCAGCACGTTTGAAGTTTGCAAAAGAGCACCTGGATGTTCCACAGCACTACTGGTAAAATATACTGTGGACAGATGAAACCAAGATTGAGTTGTTTGGGAAGAACACACAACACTATGTGTGGAGAAAAAAAGGCACAGCACACCAACATCAAAACCTCATCCCCACTGTGAAACATGGCGGAGGAAGCATCATGGTTTGGGGCTGCTTTGCTGCCTCAGGGCCTGGACGGATTGTTGTCATTGATGGGAAAATGAATTCCAGAGTTTATCAAGACATTTTGCAGGAAAACGTACGACCATCTGTCTGCCAACTGAAGCTCCGCAGAGGATGGGTGATGCAACAGGACAATGACCCAAAGCATACAAGTAATTCAACAAAACAATGGCTGCAACAGCACAGAATACGTCTTCTGGAGTGGCCCAGTCAGAGTTCTGACCTCAACCCGATTGAAATGCTGTGGCATGACCTTAATCGAATCACACCAGACATCCCAAGAATATTGCTACACTGAAACAGTTTTGTGAACAGAAGTGGTCCAAAATGACTCCAGATATGTTGTGCAGGTCTGATCTGCAACTACAGGAAATGTTTGGTTGAGGTTATTGCTGCCAAAGGAGGGTCAACCAGTTATTAAGTCCAAAGGTTCACATAATTTTTCCTCCCTGCACTGTGAATGTTTACATGTTATGTGCAATTAAACCGTGGCAACATCTAATGTTTGTGTAGTATTATGTTCAGCAGACTGTGTTCTTCTATTGTTGTGACTTAGATGATGTTCAGAGCACATTTTATGCCCAATTCATGCAAAACTCCACATAATCCCAAGGGGTTCACATACTTTTTCTCTGCAACTGTATAAGGGAGACTGAATACGTATATCAATTATAAGAAACAGTGAGAGACTAACTTCAGTGCATTTTGTTTTACAATTTAAGTGGTCCCTATAAGATGATATTATGTGTATATCACAGGCATTTTACTTTTCTATAGACTATTAGAATGCCATATAATAAAAATCAAGTATTATAAGGTAGTTTGATTAAACAGTGCAATAATAATGTCAATTCATGCATTCACTTTTTGATAAATAGAGTGATGGATTGCACTTGTTGGTCTAGTGTGTGGTGCAGACAATCTGAGCATATATACATACTCTGTAGTATAATACAATATGCAGTATAAAGTATGTACAGAGTAGGTGAACTCATTGCAGGGTGTCTTAAGTTGCTTTCCACATATACTTAATCATGTATGTAACCAAGACCTATTTTGAAACGGTTTTTGAAACTGGTGTTACATCAATTATTTATTTATTAAGGTACTTGAATAGCGCTGTCAATTTATGCAGTGCTTTAGATACATACAGTATATTGTACATTCAAGAATTATTTCTGTATGACTGAATGCTAAAGCTTCATTTATTTGTTATTATATTGCATCACCCATGTGCTCGTTTTCTTCTAGTAATAGGTTGAAGAGCAGCCAAGCGGTTTTCTTCTGTGCACAGTTTGGTACATAGCCATGAGGGGATATCACTTGCTACAAACAAGTTTGTTCCTCTTATGGGTCAATTTTGAGGGTTGAGTTAATCTTCAGAAGGCTCTTAATTTAGCAATTTGCTTACATTCTTGATACTACTCCCATAATTTATTGTGGAATCTACACCTACAAAAGGAACCCTGATAATGAAGTATATCCCATCCTGGAAACTAGATTACCTTCTTGTCCAGTTTCCTCTTTGCTCCATGAGGAGTTCAGATTGGACTTTTTGCGAGGACTTGTACTGACTTTCCTCCAAGCTCCATTCTCCCCCTTCTTCTTTCCTCCAGGCTTGTAAGCAGAACTCATGGATAAAGAAAAATGCCCTCCTTTAAAATCTGCTAAATATTGTTCTACATCTGAAAAATGTAAATGAAAAATGTATACAACATTCGTTCAATGAACTGAAGCAGGATACATTGTACAGGCAGCATACTTTCCTATGAAAGAACACAGCAGACGTGTCAAAAACAGCACTTACCATTTTTTGGAAGATGGCAGCCATGCAGAATAGCTTTATTGAGCAGAATACTGAGGGCTGCTCTTACAACTGCTTGCTGCCCTTGGCTTGGGGTTTTAGTAGGAGCAACATGGCCCAGAATGGAGGACCTCTTGACTGTTGCCAGGGAAAGAATTGCTTCTTCGACTTTTGGCACAATTACTGCATTCCACAATTTTGACATCCACCTTAAATGAAAAAAAACAAAAACATATACATGTATGCACACATGCAAACACCAAAAAAACTACAATTCAGTCAATATCATAAGGTCTCTGCTTCCAAAGACCATATAACCTTTTCACATCTTATTGTGCCACTTTTGCTTGTGGTATCCACCAAATACTTGATGGGAAAATCTCCAGGAAGAAACAGCAGTATGTACACCAAGGGAAGAAAGATACAGGTAGGACACTGAACTACACATATTACTAAAACCCAGGCTGCTTCTTTCATAATCTACACAAGATATGATATATTGATTTGAATATACTGTATGTTCTCTTTAATTTAGGAACACTTACTTCACCATTATCTGTGAATTTCCAGACACTATTGGACAAGACATAAATGACTGTGGTCCAAAAAGTGCCTCTGGCGTACCCAAACGAGACAAGCAGGAGTTTAGCTGATGCCATACTGCGCATATCCAATCTACACCTTGACAAACGGGGTCACTGGATGGAGGCAGTTTACCTTTAAACTGAAATAAAAGATTTAAGCTTTAAGGTCTCCAGTATAAGTAAGGAATCAAATGCAGGCAACAAATTAATCTGAAAACATCCATGTTTTATGAAGCCTGTTTACTATAAAAGGACAACAGATGACACAAAACATCGGTGCCCTACAAAATAAAATATATATTCACATTTATGCGCTCTACAGTAATATTATGCAATTATTATTGCATCAGACATGATGTTCTTCCCCATGTTTTCAGCGGGCTTCCAGCTTCCTCTAAGTGTTCAAGCTCCCTTTCACAATCCATAAACATACTTGTAGGTTTATTGACTTATGAGTCAACAAGCTCTTGAAAGTGTGTAGGATTGTGGTAAGTAGCAACAGATATTATGGTGGCCCAGTAGAAGTCTATGGTTAATTCCTGGGACCAAGCTAGAGGATAATGCAGACTAACTAGTCACAACAATAAACCAGCTGATCAGAGTAACAGGCTTTGTGAGATGTTTCAAAGACTACATAAAAGATATAACAATAAAGTAAGTTAGAAAAGCTTAAAAATGTTGATAACACTGACCCTATATGATATAGCTTCCCCATAATTAGAATCGCAGAATGGCAATAAAAGTGAGATCCACCAGATCAACCCAAAATCATCAATAAACTCAAAACAATGCCCAAATTAATAAAAATTTTTTATCATCTTGGTCACAGGAATAGGAGTGTTTCCATGCATGACCACTGAAAAATTATTATATTAGAATAAAAGGCAATAAAAGGCAAATTCATGCAGACTCCACCTCCGCAACATCTCCAAAATACGCACGTTCCTAACTCCAGAAACTACAAAGCAACTCATTCACTCCCTTATGATCTCCTGACTTGACTATTGCAACTCCCTCCTCGCCGGCCTACCCCAACACAGGCTATCCCCACTTCAGTCCATCCTGAATTCTGCGGCCAGACTCATCCACCTTACCAACCGCTCCGTATCTGCCACCCCCCTCTGCCAATCTCTCCACTGGCTTCCGATTGCCCAACGCATAAAATTCAAAATATTAACATTAACGTACAAAGCTGTTCATAACACTGCCCCAAACTACATCACCGACCTGATATCCATCTACCACCCACAACGCACTCTCCGCTCCTCACAAGACCTCCTTCTCTCCAGTTCCCTGGTCTCCTCCTCCCATCTCCAGGACTTCTCCAGGGCTTCCCCCATCCTCTGGAACTCACTACCCCAATCCATCAGACTGTCACCTTCCCTCCTCACCTTCAGGCGCACCCTGGAAACCCATCTCTTCAGAGAAGCCTACCCTGCCCTCACCTAATTTGCTGATCTCCTCCGCTCTTATCACCACTCCATCCCCCACAGCTATTTCCTCCTGTACCACTCTCCCCTCCCTCCTAGATTGTAAGCTCCAAGGAGCAGGGCCCTCGAACCCCTCGTGTATTGTATTGTATTGTTACTGTACTGTCTCGTGTACTGTCTCCCATAATAATGTACAGCGCTGAGCAAACCGTTGGTGCTATATAAATACTGTATAATAATAATAATAAACTAAATAATGTATTAATATAGCTCAGTGGTCTTCAAACTGCGGCTTTTTGCTTGTCTTTATCTGGTCCATGGACACCAACAACGGGGCCCCATTCCTTCTACTGAAACAGATGATGGGGCACTATTCCTTTCCCCGATATCAATGATTGGCCCTATTCCTCCTTCTGCTACAAGGGGCTATTCCTCAGACTGACACCAACAACGGAGCACCATTCCTCCCATTGACACCAATGAAAAGGCACTTTTCCTTCCCCTGATACCAACAATTGGCACTATTTCTCCCACTAAAACCATGAAGCATTGGATACTTTCATTGATGCCAAGCATTTTCTACTCACACTGGTCACATTTTGGCCCCCAAAGAGTCTGAAGGACAGTAAACTGCCCTTTGTTTATTTGGAGACCCCTGATATAATTCAACTTCCAATTGAAGGGACATACCTTATGTACAACTCTTCTTTTCAAAACTTTGTGGAGTAAACTATGCATAGGCTCTCCATCCCATCTAAGTTGAACCCATCGGAAATGCTGTTGTGCCAATAATTCAGGTCCTTGAAGGCGAGGCCTTGCGACTGTTCCCATCAAAAAGCAATCTTCATGGAAGTAGTAGGCATCAGATAGTCCATTGGCTTTGTTAGAGAGAAAAATACAGAGCCACATTCACAATATAATACTTGGCATTAGAGTATTTGAATATGATTTATGGTCCCTTCAATGAATATATCTACCTCTGTGAACACAGTATGGATTCTCAGACCCACGATTTTCTAATGGAGACATCAAATCCCCAAGCAATTCCAATAATGAGACATTCTCTAATTTTTCCAGAACGATGATGGTTTTCTTTTTGCAAGGAGGTGGATCAGTAACAGGAATTAAACAGCCTAAAATAAAAAGCAGGTTGTACATGGACAGGTTGGAACGAGTAATGATTGTATTCTTCTAAGTGTGTGCAGTAAAACATTTTAGTTAAAAAGATCAAACTATTCATTTTAATTGGCCAGTTTAATTTTTCCTAGATGTGCACAGAGAATCTTAACTGTTTAAGTCACAAAGTACTATTACTTATCTTATGAGGTAGTAGTACAACGAAAAACACTTTACCTGAATTAATAAAAATATCTACTAGTTGCTCCTTAGATAATCCAGAATCTACTTCAACCTTTACCACATCACAACTAAATCCAGTACCCTCTTCCTTGTTCTGATGGGAGAAAAACCTTATTAGTGTTGGAAATGTGACCATGCACTACTATAAAAAAATGTCTCTGTGGTATACCTTGATGCAGCATGAAAGCTGGTCCACTATATATTCTTGTAGGCTCCCTTCTGGACCTTGGAAGATCACATTGTGATATTGCTCGACCTGTTTGAAAAATACAATAATCATTAGCTCTCATACTAATGATTCGCCATGGTGTACAAAGGAATGAGATGAAAAAAGTAATCTTGAGTATAAAGAGAGTGCATGGAATACAAAGTTAATTTTGAATATGAAACATTTTGAAAACCAAACATGGTCTATGGCTTTTCCCTCTGAAATGTCCATAAAAATGAACTAATTATTAGCCACCAAAAATGGTCCTCAACAGAAATGAACAATTATTATGCAGCAGTAGGGCAGTCCTGGATGATTAGCTAAACAGAACTAACACTGGAGCCACAGCCACCAGAATAAGGGTCACTTCTCAATGAATGTATGTACTGCTCCTTCTGCTGATTAAAAATAAAAAAGGCAGGCTTTATTTTTCATGATGATAAAAATTCAAGAAATTCATTTTTTTCTGCCAATGTGGAAGAACTCATAGTAAACAGAAGCAAACGTTCAGCAGCTTAGTGTGGTCATACTAAAATAAAACATTATGTTTGATATAAATGATGAACTAGTGCCATCATCTCCAGTGGAATTGTAGAAGTAATACAATCAAGGATAATACAGATAAAACAAATACATAACACACAATAACAAGGTGCAGTAAGAGAGAAAATAAAAACGTACACATGTATCCTAATACATGCTATATAGTGCTGATACAGGATTTGCACATGGTAACTTCCTTGTAATATACCAATGATGATGCCATAGGTTTAAAATTATATAGAAAATTTTTAAATTCTAAGAGGACATTTTAGAGTGAGTCAGGTGAGTTCATTTACACTTGAACAATCCAAAGCATGGACAAAATCTGACTACTGTTCTGAGCTTTTCCAAGCTGAAAAAAAATAATTTTAATTAAAATGATCATGTCTGCCTAAATGCAGCATTAGTATCACATTCAGGAAAGTGAGGCAGCCGATAACAATTATTGGCTGGGAATGCAGAAGTCAAGGTTTTCAATTAGACGATATGTGGACAGTCAGAGACTTGAACTGACAATTCTTGTTTTATATTTTTTATTGCACAAGTCCAGTAAACAGTAGAGTGTAAGAGTGTCAGAGAGTCCGTCACAATAGGTTTACCCCATGAAGGATGAAGTTTGAACAACTCAGCTTACAAAATGCATATGAACTGCATATAGTCAAGGAATACGTTGCTGCTAATTAGCAGTTATGTGAATTACAACTATGCATCCACTAACCAATATAGTTATTTTAGGTGTTCATTTTAGAAGCGGCAAAGCCCTTATGACCTTTGCTGAATGCTGTCTATCTATAGATCTTTTAAAATGTACACCTGCATTATTTTTTTCTTCCTGCAGACTGAATGTTGCAATGTTTACGGTGTGTCTGACATGCTTTAATTTACAGGGTACTGCAGCTGCCACACACATAACATGCAGGGAAACCAAGCGTGGTTAGGATCAAATATGAAGAAATGTTAATATTCTGTAGAATCAATTATATGTATCAATGTAATCACTGAAATAGAAACAGAAACTGGAAATAGTCTTACTATTACTTACTGTTTGTCTTACTTATCCATATTTCATTCTACTTATTTATTATTAAAGTACAATTTGATTTTCCTATTTGCAGCAGCAGATATAATATATGAACATCAGAGGGCAGCATTGACCTCTCTCTCTGGCTGTGTGTGTGTGTATATATATATATATATATATATATATATATATATATATATATATATATATATACACATACACATACACACATGCCTCTCTTATTTTTATTCCTTCTACCTGCAATGTATGTTTACAGTATATATATATATATATATATATATACTCTATCTCCAGCCACTTTATTAGGTACACCTTGCTAGTGCCAAGAAAATATCCTCCACACCATTACACCACCAGCCTGATCTGTTGATACAAGGCAGGATGGATCCATGCTTTCATGTCATGCCAAATTCTGATCCTACCATCTGAATGTCGCAGCTGAAATCGAATGCCCATTCTCCTCTGACACAATTGTCACTCACTGGATATTTTCTCTTTTTTGGACCATTCTCTGGTAAACCTAAAGATGGTTGTGCATGAAAATCCCAGTAAATCAGCAGTTTTTGAAATACTCAGACCAGCCCGTTTCGCACCAACAACCATGCCACGTTCAAAGTCACTTAAATCTCTTTTCTTCCCCATTTTGATGCTCAGTTTGAACTTCATAAAATCATCTTCACCACATCTAGGTGCCTAAATGCATTGAGCTAATGCCATGTGGTTGGCTGATTAATCACTTCCATACAGGGCACTTTTACCCCCTTCCTGCCCAGGCCAATTTTCAGGTTTCAGCGCTCTCACACTTTGAATGACAATTGCGCGGTCATACAACATTGTACCCAAACTAAAATTTTAATGTTTTCTTCACACAACTAGAGCTTTCTTTTGGTGGTATTTAATCACTGCTGGCTATTTTATTTTTTGCTAAATTAACAAAAAAAGACCAAAACGTTTTGAAAAACCACGTTTTTCTTTGTTTCTGTTATAAAAGTTTGCAAATAATTGTTCTTAATAAATTTAGGACAAAATGTATTCTGCTACATGTCTTTGGTGAAAACAACCCAAATTAGTATTTATTATTTAGTCTGTAGGAAAGTTATATAGTTCACAAACTATGGTATATATCTGAATAGTGATCAATCCTGAAGTACTGACGGCCAATCTAATTTCTTGAGGTCCAAGAATGTCAGAATAGTACAGATATCCCCCAAATGACCCCTTATTTGCAAAGTAAACAGTCCGACGTACTTCATAAGAGGCATGGCGAGTTTTTTTGAAGTTGTAATTATTTTGTCATAATTTTTTGGAAATGAATAAAAAAAATGATTTTCACTATTTTTTTTTTTACATACTGTCACCAGTGCAGTACAGTGTCATCATATAACTGGCATGGCGGTGATCAGGGACACTGACTGGTGACAGTATGAAAAAAATAAATAAATTGATAATTTGTTTTTTATTACATTTTTTTTCTTAAGATTTTTTTTTCATATTTCACTATGACCAAAGTAGTATAATGTTACCATAGTAACATTGTGCTACTTTGGGAAAGTGATCAGTATTTTTTTTTTTTTTTTTTTACACAATTTGCTTATAGCAAAGAATTACTTTGCTATAAGCAAGCATTTACCTGAATGGCATCGATTCATTCAGGTTTTTTTTTTTTTTTGCTTAGCTGTGATTTGGCCACAGCTAATTACATGACACAGCTGGGCTGTAATTGGCCCAGCTTGTGCATGTGATCATTGTGACCATTCACAGCTAGCCACACTTGTATACAATGGATGGCTTCCTTTCATGCCATCCATTGTATACAACTGCCATGTGACCTGATGTGATTGGTCACAGCAGGTCACATGGTACTGGCACGGGGCCGGTACACAGATCTGTCATCGGCCGTGTCCGAGCTACACAGCCGGTGACAGATCGCGCTGCTGCGCGGCTCTGCAGGCACGCAAACTGCACATGCCTGGAAGGACGTCATATGGCGTCCACCTGGAGTGACGAGGTGCTCGCCTGGCCACCATCTGGCCATAGGCCAGGCGGGAACCTGTTAACAATTTGTGTTACCAAGCAATTGAACAGGTGTACCTAGTAAAGTGGCTGGTGAGTGACCTAGCTTTTCCCCAAAGAATTGTTTCTGTATAATTTCTGTATGATAAGTAATGAAGTTACTGCCAAATTAAAAGGCCTATCAGGAAAATGTGAAAACGGCACCAGAATATACCAGTATAACACCACTAAATAACCCCCATGTATGTTTGGAAAGAGAGAGTATTGCCAACTGCTGTAGGTCTTCTGTAGATACCCTCTGGATTTCCAGATGTATGATCGCAAATTTAACTCTTATTCACCAAGGTATGGGAATCCTGATTGAATACCTTGCAGCATTTAGTGACTTCAAAAAAATAACCGACAATTGTTGCAATCTGTGTCCTCTGTGAGCAGATTATGTTGTGCTCTGTAAAAGCTTAATATCTACGTTTGGTCTGTAAAATCTAGGTAGCAGATGATCATATGGTGTGGTGTCTTATTATCAGAAGGCATAGGCCCCAGTCTGTATTCCCTGTCCACCATACATGGAGCCTTGAGGCCTATCTATAATGTACAGTGCTGAGCAAACCTTTTAGCGCTATATAAATACTGTATAATAATAATAATATTGCTTGTGGGAGAATGATAAGCAAGAAGTTATAAAGGTTTGCTGTATAATAAGAATTAGGCAGCCCTATGACCCTCAGGTTATTGCAGCATGGCCTGTTCACTTGTTGTCACTGTGCTGTGCCCGAGTTAGTATAGCTTTTATCAAGTCTCCCATATTTCTGAGTTTTCTGTTTCTGCAGCATGGTTTTCGCTGGGCGATATATGTTGCTGCACTGCCTCCATTATGATGTGGGAGATATCTGCTTTGAGGTTAGAGGCAACCTCTAGCAAAAATCTTTTATGGTTGATATGCAGCTTCAGAGATAAACTCCCAATTGTTGTCTTCATCTTCACTTGGTCATAAGACTTCTTTGTCCGTCAGTCCTAGCATCCACTATCTTTGTCTGAGTTCTTAGCATTGAGCACAGTTGCACTTCACAGACAGCGATTTTGTGATGTACACATCTATGTTATTGTCCGCAGTAGGTCCTGACATCTGCAGGATCAATATAGCTGGAGGGAGATGCTAGATAATACAGGGATATGCGGCAAGCTCATCAAGCTCCAGAACACGGAAGTAGCCCCCATGTGTGTTTACTGGTATGCATAATTTAAGACACAAATGCTATGAAGATTCTTCGGAGAAACCTATTGGCTGCAGTAATTTCACTATCTGAAACAAGCACACAGCAGTTGCAATGAGAATGTACATTTGTTCTGGGGCAGTATTTCTGAAAGTATTAATGCACTTGACTAAGCATGCTAGACAGACAAAAGAAATATCATCAGAACAGCCTCCAATTTTCTATTAATACAGGCATTCTATATAGGTATGATCCAGGAACATTTTTTTCTATTTTCTAACGAGAACGCACTGCTACAATGCTATGAGATTTATTTATATCTATATTGTACCCACACAGCTGTTCCATCTAGAAAAAGTACTCATTAGGCAACATATTGCTTCTGAGTGCTGATAAATATATAGCTGCCATCATTTATAAATACCTAGCAGACTAATGTACAGGATGACAAGAGTGTTGGGGTGGGAGAGGTAAACAATAGGAAGATGAGGAAAAAAATCTGTTATATTAGATATCAGATTAAGCAAAAGTTAGCTTTGAATTTCTGTTTGTTTGTTTTTCTGTTGCCCACTTCAATTTCTAATTTTATATTAACTGTGCTAGCAGCATATAGCATATATTTAATACTAGATTGGTGACATGTTATGTAATGCTTTATATCTACAATTGCAATATAGAATAACCACTTTGGTTCCTTAGCCTTTCCACTATTAATTCCCATTAGTTTTTTTTTTTGTTTTTTTTTCAGTTTTGGAGAAGTCTTGGGTCTCAAATGTTCAACTGCAGTGAACAGTACCACAAGATCATTCAAATTAAATGGAGAAGTCTTGGGTCTTGTTCAATTGCAATGAACAGTACCACAAGATCATTCAAATTAAATGGAGAAGTCTTGGGCCTTCAATGTTCAACTGCAATGAACAGTACCACAAGATCATTCAAATTAAATGGCCTCTAATGCTTGTGCATTGCAGAACATCACAACATACCATCTGTGCAATGAGATGCAGAGAAAAGGAAGTGAGCTGCCTTAATGGAATAAGTTAGCACGCAAAATGTACTCACCAGCCACTTTATTATGTACACCTGTTCAATTCCTTGGTAACACAAATTGCTAATCAAGCAATCGCCTGGCAGGAACTCAATGAATTTAGGCATTTAGACATTACAAAGATGACTTTCTGAAGTTCAAAAACCGATCAGAATGGGGAAAAAGGGGATTTAAGTAACTTTGAACGTGGCATGGTTGTTGGTGCCAGACAGGCTGGTCTGAGTATTTCAAAACCCGCTGATCTGCTGGGATTTTCACACACAACCATCTCTAGGATTTACAGAGAATATTCCAAAAAACTGAAAGTATCCAATGAGTGGCAACTGTGTGGACGGAAATGCCTGGTTGATGTCAGAGGTCAGGGGAGAATGGGCATTCAATTTCATCTATGACATTCAGATGGTAGGGTCAGAATTTGGCATAAACAACATGAAAGCATGGATCTATCCTGCCTTGTATCAAGGATTCAGGCTGGTGGAGTAATGGAGCAGGGGATATTTTCCTGGCATTAGCAAGGTGTACCTAATAAAGTGGCCAGTAAGTGTATGGCACATTAACGTGTTCAGTAACACACTGAAGAGGTGTGAAGGGTCCTGAATGTTTGTAATCTGCCCTAAAGTACAGTATAATACATCTTTTTTGCAACATATATTCCTTAATTTAATCTCAGCCTTGTAAACATATATTTTGATTTAATAGAAAGAATAAAAAGGAAAAATAGAAAATAAGAAACATTTTTAAAAGAATTAAATTTCTGCAATTTTTCTTTATAATACTTTTAAGTTATTTGTGCCTTGAATATTTACCCAAAGACATAACTGAGAGATCTGCAACTGGACAACAAACTTATTAGCTGAGATATATTTTCAGTCCATGACAGCTGGCATTTTCAACCGTCAACCCTGGTAGGACCTTGCCAGTGGTGCCGAGACTGTTTACCATTTGAAAATGGCACTGCGACAAATAGCTGGCAATCCTGCACCATTATAACTGGCACCTGTGACTCAAGCGGTTCAGAAAATGCAGTATTAATGCAGAGTGATGCGGCTGTTAGCACTTTGCAAATGTTGGTTACTCAGCACAAGACAATTATATTTTCTTTAACATACTGTATATTATGATTTGCAGTTTTTTCATCAGGTTTGTGTCTCTTTGCATTTAGTGAATACGCATCTTATACGTAGTATGCTATTCAAGTCTTAAAATAAGTATGCACATCAATTTTTATAGAGTGAAACTATGAACTACAGTACTATCGCAATACATTATTACAAAATTTTGAACTATAGTTATAACAACAAATGTTTATACTGAATACGTAGCACCTAAAGCAATAAATAAGTAAAGAGAGAAAACAGAGTTAATGAAAAAACAAATACATGAACATAAATTTGAAGGACTGATTGAAAAGGCATGTTAGTTACATTAAAAAAACCCAAAACAACCCCCCCCCCCCCAAAAAAAAGAAAAAAAAAAGTTTTTCTCTCACAAGTCTGTAACCTACCAAGCGAAGGAAGTTTTGCCATGTCTGTAGCGGAATCATTGAGGCATAAGTCACACTTTTAAGACTTCCATGCTTTGGACCTGTAAACATAACATTGTGAAATTCTCTAGAAACTTTGCACACAATAAAATTGCAAACGTCAATGGCAACTCCCAGCAAAATGAGTGTTGTCAAATTTAATACAATTGCTAATACTCCCAATAATAGGATGTCAAATTATGTTATGACCAACACAGCAATGTATATACAGACACTAAATGTATAAAATTAATTTGTCCACTATAATTTACAAAAATCAAAACATGTTACAGAACATAAAAAACATTGTTATTTACTTGTGCATTGGGTGGATTAGTTAAAATCCAACAAAGCACCTCCTACAGGACCTTATAGATTAGAAATTATGTATGTGTGTGTATGTATGGGATTCACAAGAGTACAAAGAAGGAAAACTACCCACAACAGGTTAACGTATGCCTCCTAAACCCACTGTCTTCCCAGCATTGGGTGACTAGTCTTCTGAATTAACAAATTACTTCTTATTATCATGCTACCAGAAAAATGTTGACTGCCAGCTTACTGAAAAAACTATTTCAAGTAATTGAGCAGCTGGAGTTGCTTTTGACTGATGAATTACTGGTATCTAATAATTGTCAAGCACTGGAGTAACATATTTTACTTCATTATTTTCATATAATCTTTATTTAATAGGCACGAAGGGTTAATGCACACACCACAGTAAATCAATTGAATGGCTTGGTCACTCGATGGCTATTTAACTGTATATTGACTTGATCACTATACTGGTAAATAAAGAGCCAATGTACATCAAACATGTTTGAGAGTTATTTCTTTCTTCAATCTGGTCTTTTTGTGTACAACAGAACAAACATGGGGTGGGGGTGAAAGGGTTAAACCAGGGAAGGAGGTCAGGGAGGAAAGGGGGGGCTGGCCAACACTGGACCTCAAAGTCTGTGCCTGGGGAGGGGGTGGCTAAACATACAGATCAAAATAATCATTGTATGACTATCAGGCAAACACAGGGGGAAGGGATTTTTCCCTTGAAAGCAAAGTGAGAAGTGATGGTGCATTTATAGGTTTTTATCAGAAGGGGATAGGGATGGGGGCTGGGGGGATGCAAGGGGGTAAGATGGAAAAGGAAGGGGCATCTTATGGTGCTCACTAGTTATTCTAGTAATTAGTTGTTGGTTAAAAGAGGAAGGTGCCCTGTTGTGCGCAGTCCCACCAACACGTGACAAGGAAGGTGGAAGGAATTCGAGCTAGCTTAGTTGGGACCTGGTACCATCTAGTAATGAATTTTGTAGAAATCTTTTATTCAGTAGGCAGGACGAGACATGTGTCAGGTGGATGATTTTAGCTGTCTGGGGGTGAAGTTAAGGCTCAATTATAACTGCCACTTTCTGAAAAAGAATAGACCTTTATTTAGCTGCACATGTGGAACAATTTACATGAAGAGAACAACAGAAGTTTATGAAAAGGTTTCCCCTACATTGACAAATTTCAAGGGAGTCAGGGAGTGTTTGGGTCTCCAGCACTGTGGAGATAATATTGCCCAGTTATACAAACAATATCTATATGTGTCTAATGGGAACCTCCCATGTTAGCCCTGTAGGTGCTCTAGGGACGTTAACTGTTCATTATGGACAATTTAAACATAACTTGTATTCCTATCTTTGGCAAAAAGATTGGAAGAAAAACAGTTGTTTTCCTTTATTCTTCCCTAGCATGTGAATGAGACCTCATTTCAGTTATCAAGTTGTTTTGATCATCTTTAATGGAGTGTAGCTCTTTAAATAGAGTAGGTTGTGGGAGTCAGTAAGCTGGATGCCCAGATATTTCAGTGATTAATGATATTGGCTGCAAAGGAGTATGAGTGGTGAAGTGTGTCAAGTTCTGCAGGAGGCAGAATCTTTGATTTGGGTTTATTTTGAAACTTAAGAGAGCCTCAAATTCATGCAATTCTAGCATGAATTTGAGTAGGGAGGTAATCAGTTCGGTAATATAAAAATAAATATCTTCCGCATAGGCAGAATATTTATGTTCAGTGGAGCCTATGTGAACTCTCTGAATATCTAATTCTGCCAAGAAAAGTTTCATTACTAGGAAAAAAAAGGCTAGAATGATAAGACAACCCTGCCTAGTTCTGCTTTTTACTTAGTAGAGTTGGAAAAAAGCACCAATAAATTTAACTGTAGCTGTGGGGCTCCTAGTAAAGTATCAATATCCAGCTGAACAAGTTAGATGGGGCTTAGAACCAAGGTTTTAAGGGTTTCTTCTATGAACATTGAATCCACCCTATCAAGAATGATCTCAAGATTTCATAACTGGTATAAATGCAGTTGGCCTTTTTGACTTCTAACGTGTGACCCTGATAAGCCCAGTAAATAGGCTGAAAAACTAGGTGGCAGGAACTGGACAGCCATGTTATGTCAACCTGTGGAACTGATCTGAGGACCCATGGTTTAATAAAGTGGATAAGATAAAAGAGTTTTGCTCAGTTTGTCCAGCAACAGGAGAAGGGCTTATTCAGTCTTCTGTGTTGATGTAGGAAACTAGCAAATTTTTTTCCTGCAACCTGTGGTTGGCCTGCCTTAGTTGAGCCATATTAAAGTCAATGAACTGTTTTAACACATATTTTAGCTGTAATCACTTCTTTTTCTGTATACCTGTGAAGTTTGCAAATCACATCTCTCAGTTTATCCTGATCTTACGTCAGTGGGCATAGCACTCTGTATGGTCTGTTAGTTTCGATACAGTTGGTCTAGTGACTCTAGTCTGAACTCAGAATTTAGTTGAAGAGTGCTGGTAGTGTGGAGACCAGGTCAGTAGGGTTGTTAACTTCTGGGAGGCATCCATTTATGATATTAGAGTGTCTACTTCTGTTTTCACATTCATCCAATTCTAACAGTAGGGTTTCTATTTTAAGATCCTGTCTGTATGAACACTCTTTTAGTAATTCAATTAAATGTCCTCCCGCTTGTTTTCTAGGGTTCCCTTTCTGTGACCAAGTTGTGCGGTATCAACTTTAATGGAATCAAGTTCTTGTTTAAATGATGCTTCCATCTTTTTAAAAAAACTGTTCCAGGACATCATTTGTGATGGTGGGTCTTAATATGAGTCCTTATATTTTATTTTATTATATTATTTAATAAACTATATATTTCATTTTATAAAAGGTGTACATAATGTACATATTTATAAACGTATTTCTGTATATACTGTAAAGAAAAGTACAATACTGTAACTGATATTATTCATCCGATTACTCCATAATAAATGTAAGCTAAAATATTTGCTGTACACAATCTGTTCAGGCAAAGCACTTGAGGTTTATAAAAAATGAACACATTGTGTTCTCACTACCAAGCAGCTGAGAAGATAACTTATTTACAGATAGGAATCTATTATGGTACACAAAACTGTTTTAGCTCATGTATACACAGGGGTTAGACAAAACATGGAAACACTACATGATTTGCATGTGTGAAAGTGACAACATTTTTCGAAGTTTAATGCAGAAGTGATGTAACTTTGTTTATAGTGTTTTTTTATTAATTTCACATATTTTTAGCATTGCACAGTTTTTGATATTTATGTGTATGATGACAGACAAACAAGGGGGCTAAGAAATCAGTGCAGAAAAAGGGTGATTAAACCAGCTAGACAATCCAGACTATCAAGATATAATAAGATAGAGTCCAAAGACAGGTAACAAAAATGGTGAAAGGTCTGGGGGATAAAACATATCAAGAGGGACTTCAGGAACCTAACATGTACAGTCTAGAAGAAAAGAATGGAAAGGGGAGACATGATTGAAACCTTTAAATACACCAAGGGGTTGAATAAGGTTCAGGAGGGCAGTATTTTCAACATGAAACCAAAATAAAAGAACACGGGGACATGACCTTAACCTCCTTGGCGGTATTCCCGAGTGTAGCTCGGGGGGTAACATTTCAGTACCAAAAGCGGTAACCCCGAGCTACACTCGGGCTTACCCTGCGGCACTGCTCCGGCAAGTGTTCTTCACTTACCTTACCCTGCGCTCCCACGATGTGTCCCCTGCAGCGTCCCTGGCCATCTCCTCCGGCCGATGCCGGCATCCGGCTTCTGTGTCCTGTCCCTGTGACGTCGGGACGTACGGGGCGCCGCCGGCGGCGGGAAAATTTTTAAAAATTTTAAAAAATGTCATTTTTTTTTTTTTTTACATTTTACATAGTAAAACATTGCTGTCTCAACCAATTTCACATACATTTTGTCCCGAGTGCTTTGTCCTGTGCCCTGCCTGCATTTTGTCTGTTCTTTCTGCCTGGAAACTGAGAAACGTCCATGGCGTCCAAAAAGTGTCCCTTTATGTCAAAAGCGGTTTAGATCAGCTAGAGAACAGCGATAGTAAATCAGAACCACTTGCAGAATTGAGTGATAATGATTCGTGGGGAAATTCGTCATCAGACACTGAAAACGATTTTGCGACTGAGCTCAGCAATGTGCGAACTTGGCGCTATATTTCACATTTCAGTGTTTTTGGTTTGATTATATTATTGAATTAAATTTTTTATTATTTTTATATTATTTTTATGATTATTTATTAAATTATAATTTATGATTTTGTGTTTCAAATTTTATCATACCCGGGATGTTTACTAGACTCTTGTTCGGACAGATTTCAGTGAGTTTTTCCTAAAAATTACAGCCTACAATAAAAAAAATACATATTTCCATGCAAAAAAAATGGTACCGCTTTCAGCACCAAAAATCTGAAATAATCATACCGCTAGGGAGGTTAAACTAACTGGAGGGAAGTTCAAAACTACCGTATTTTTTGCTCCATGAGACGCACTTTTTTCCCCCAAAAAAAGGGGGGAAAATGTCAGTGTGTCTTATGGAGCGAATATGGAGCGGCCGGTCCGGTATTTCCACTGCCGCCTTGTCAGAATACCGGGCCGGCCGCTCAGCTCTACAGCGGGACCTTAGAGATGACTGCTGACCTTTGGGGAGGGAGGGGGAGCGGGTACCTGAATTTGACAGATACCCGCTCCCACTTCCGTGGAGTTGTTCTTTCATCTTACCCGTTCCTCTATCCAGCGGCGCGGTCTTCCCGGCTTCTGTAGTGTGGGCATGACAGCCGGGTGTCAAGTGCGCATGCGCAAGAAGCGGTGCTTTTTGTGAATGGTAAGGCGGCACCTGGGACACATGACAGATCCCAGAAGCCGCCGGACCAATCACAAAGCGCAAGTGCTTCTCGCTCATGCGCACTGGGCACCCGGCTGTCATGCCGAGCGCCATTACAGAAGCCGGGAAGACAGCGCACGGCTGGATAGAGGAACAGGTAAGATGAAAGAACAACTCCGCGGAAGTGGGAGCGGGTATCTGTCAAATTCAGGTACCCGCTCCCCCCCCTCCCCAAAGGTCAGCAGTCATCCCCTGTACTATCCAAAGTCTCTGGTCATCCCTGTGCTGTCCGCAGTCTCTGGTCATCCCTGTGCTGTCCGCAGTCTCTGGTCATCCCTGTGCTGTCCGCAGTCTCTGGTCATCCCTGTACTGTGTCCGCAGTCTCTGGTCATCCCTGTACTGTGTCCGCAGTCTCTGGTCATCCCTGTACTATGTCTGCAGTCTCTGGTCATCCCTGTACTGTGTCCGCAGTCTCTGGTCATCCCTGTACTGTGCCCGCAGTCTCTGGTCATCCCTGTACTGTGCCCGCAGTCTCTGGTCATCCCTGTACTGTGTCTGCAGTCTCTGGTCATCCCTGTACTGTGTCCGCAGTCTCTGGTCATCCCTGTACTGTGCCCGCAGTCTCTGGTCATCCCTGTACTGTGTCCGCAGTCTCTGGTCATCCTTGTACTGTGCCCGCAGTCTCTGGTCATCCCTGTACTGTGTCCGCAGTCTCTGGTCATCCCTGTACTGTATCCGCAGTCTCTGGTCATCCCTGTACTGTGTCCGCAGTCTCTGGTCATCTCCTGTACTGTGTCCGCAGTCTCTGGTCATCCCTGTACTGTGTCCGCAGTCTCTGGTCATCTCCTGTACTGTGTCCGCAGTCTCTGGTCATCCCTGTACTGTGTCCGCAGTCTCTGGTCATCTCATGTACTGTGTCCGCAGTCTCTGGTCATCTCCTGTACTGTGTCCGCAGTCTCTGGTCATCTCCTGTACTGTGTCCGCAGTCTCTGGTCATCTGTACTATGTCCGCAGTCTCTGGTCATCTCCTGTACTGTGTCCGCAGTCTCTGGTCATCTGTACTATGTCGGCAGTCTCTGGTCATCTCCTGTACTGTGTCCGCAGTCTCTGGTCATCTGTACTATGTCCGCAGTCTCTGGTCATCTCCTGTACTGTGTCCGCAGTCTCTGGTCATCCCCTCTACTATGTCTGCAGTCCATTAGTTCAGAATTTTTTTTTCCTGTTTTCTGCCTCTAAAACCTAGGTGCGTCTTATGGTCAGGTGCGTCTTATGGAGCGAAAAATACGGTAATCTCAGAAAGTACTATTTTACTGAAAGAGTAGTTGATGCTTGGAATAAGCTTCCAGCAGCGGTTGTGAGCCAGTTTAACAGTAAATAGCTTGGGCAAACATGCTTGGGAGAAGCATAGATCTATACTCAAGTCAAGACAAAAAAGTTAACAAAAAAAATACACCCCCCCCCCAAAAAAAAAAAACCCACAAAAAAACCCACAAATAGGCAGACTCGATTGACCACTTGGTCTTTTTCTGTCATCACATTTCTATATAAAGGGTTCAAAGTCCGATGAATAATGGAAGTGGTCAGATTCTATTTTAAATACCAAGAAAATATCAAGCAGCCACCTCACAAACCTTGATTGCCCCAATACTACCCCAATATTGGGGAATCAAATCTTCTAATAAGGGAACAAAAAAAAGCACCCGTTATATTAACGCGCTCACTTAAAGCTTCAATTTTGTTTCTGCTACTTCTAGCTGTGACTGCCCACCCTGCAGCCAAGTGCTTATGTTACTGAACCGGAAGTCTCCATAGTCTCTACTCTATGGATTAACCTAATTAGGTTTACGTGCATATCCAATCAGCCACCAGACTCAATTCAAGTACAAAATAAATCTATCTGCTGTCTGTTCCAGTGCTGTTTGTAAACTTTTCAATTATGTACAAGTTTTCATTTCCCATGGGAAAGTCTGTTCATTGAAAGAAGTATATAGCTGTGCATATAAGATCAGGCAAGAACGCTGACACCTGCATCCCTTCTAGGCACAGTTCCCCTGACTCAGCACAGCTACAAGTGAACCAGCTGCTTAGAACTGAACAGTATTATACCGACATTTTCCTATTTTACATAAATCTTTCTATTAAATCATTTTCTCTGAATGGAAGATTTTATATTTTATTCTCAAAAATTTTACTGTCATTGTATACCATAATCGTTTGGATTATCTTCGTATCTGCAATCCCCATACAAGTAACATTGTGTTTGAACTTCAGATTTTGCCTACATTACCACCTCCAGGTGATATGTGTCATAACAGCTCTGAAAATTAGCCTTACATACTGCACTTGTGTTGAGCTTTAGTCTAGCGACAAATTAAAAAAAATATATATATATATATAAAAGTGACCCAGGGTCACTTATAACAAGTACCAGCCCTGAAAAAGAATAATGCCTTATGCATTAGGTACTTGAATTAATAGGTTTTCAAACACTAGAAGTGCTCAATACCTGCAGCAGTCAATAAGCAGTGAAGTGGTGGGCCACCACAAAGAGCAGGGTGAAGTTAAGTTTAAAAACCCATTAGAAAAGTAAAAAAAAAAAAGAAAAGAAAAGAAGACTTGCACTAGCACATAACTGGATATTCAAAGTGAACACAGCTTCACCTTATTCAGTACCACTGACTTTGTACATTGGAAATACAGTTTTTTAACGTGAACAGTCTATTGACTTAATAAGTCTACCCCATCGGTTTCAGAGACACCAAGGAAAATGTCCATTATTCTTGAACCACCCACCAACCTTCTAGTAACTCTATCACATCACTACAATATCTTAATTCTACCTGAAGCAAATGAACCATCCTTTCAGAATGGCACATTGTTTTAAGAACTAAAATAGTTATTACTTAAACTTACCTGGCATAAAAACAGATAGCTGATCCCCTTTACTCATTTTCAGAAATTCCCATGGTGTCTGCAGGAAAATCTGCCCTAGTGACCAGGATGTGTTCCCTGGAAATAAAATTAAAAAGGGGATAACTCAGCATTGTTACATGCATCCTTCTACAATTTCTTACTACTGTCAAAAGAGAAAGTGTACAAATGGATCACTAAATAGCTAATAACAAAATGTTTTACAAATATCTACAAACATATCAGTGCTAAAAATCTCAGGTTTAGCAACACAGTCATAACAGTCATTAAAGGGTATGTATTGGATCAAGGGATATTAAATTATAAATAACATGTAACTATGAATATTATTAACAATCAAGTAGATTTATCAGCCTGATGGACTTTACATGGGCAATTATGACATATTGCTGAGTTTTGCAATACTGCAGAATGTACCCTTCAACTTAAAGTCCATCCTTACAATAAAATGCACCTTCTATAGTATTAAAGACATAAGTCTCCATTAGAGCAAGAATGAGGGTCATCTGGTTTGTAAAGCAAAAAGAGCAACAAGTGCTTCATACCACAGGTCCTACTATAGTAAACACCATTATGACATTCCTGGTAACCAGAGTATAGAAGACTAAAATACAGCTCACCAACCACTAAATGATTACAAAAAGAAATCCATAGGAATTGTATAAATATGGAGATAAATCCTTGAGCGTAGGAAGAAGAGGCTTTATCACATATTCTTGAACCTTTGAATCAGGGACAGTTGGTGGGCACATGTGCCATTAATCGGAGCTGCAAAATTAAGTTCAAGCAAATGCTTCACGGTGAAACATGGCTGCCAAATCTTCTAACATAATGAAGTATATCAGTGTGGCACCAGTCTGTTGCAGTCTACTGTCACCAAGCTTCTGCTGTGATGAAAATGATACCGTACATTTATATACTTTCCTCTGATAGCATCCTACACTCATAGAGACAATATCTGTCCTTTACAATTATTGCTTCTCCCTGGTGTATGCTCACTGGATTCTGCAGATACAAGTCCTGTTTTACAGGAGACATATCACTACACTTTAGGTACAGGTTATACAGTGAGGAACAGAAGTATTTGAACACCCTGCGATTTTGCAAGTTCTCCCACTTAGAAATCATGGAGGGGTCTGAAATTCACATTGTAGGTGCATTCCCACTCTGAGAGTCAGAATTAAAAAAAAAATTCAGGAAATCACATTGTATGATTTTTAAAGAATTTAATTGTCTTGCACTGCTGAACATAAGTATTTGAACACCTAAGAAACAGCAAGAATTCTGTCTCTCAAACCTGTTACTGTGCCTTTAAAAAGTCCACCTCTACTCCACTCATTAATCTAACTTAGTAGCACCTGTCTGAGCTCTTTAAAGACACCTGTCCACCCCACAGTCAGTCAGATGCCAACTACTACCATGGGCAAGACCAAAGAGCTGTCAAAAGACACCAGAGACAAAATTGTGGATCTCCACAAGGCTGGAAAGGACTACGCCAAGCAGCTTGGTGAAAATAGATCAACTGTTGGAGCAATTCTTAGAAAATGGAAGAGGCTAACGACGACTGTCAGTCTTCCTCGGACTAGGGCTCCATGCATGATCTCACCTCGTGGGGTATCACTGATGATAAGAAAGGTGAGGAATCAGCCCAGAACTACAAGGGAGGAGCTGGTCAATGACATGAAGAGAGCTGGGACCACAGTTTCAAAGGTCACTGTCGGTAGAACACTACGCCGTCATGGTTTCAAATCATGCATTGCACAGAAGGTTCCCCTGCTCAAGTCATCACATGTCCAAGCCCATCTGAAGTTTGCCAATGATCATCTGGATGATCCAGAGGTGGCATGGGAGAAAGTCATGTGGTCAGATGAGACCAAAGTACAACTTTTTGGTCGAAACTTCACTCGTCGTGTTTAAAGGAAAAAGAAGGATGAGTTGCATCCCAAGAACACCATCCCTACTGTGAAGCATGGGGGTGGTAACATCATGCTTTGGGGGTGCTTTTCTGCGAAGGGGACAGGACGACTGCACTGTATTAAGGAGAGGATGAATGGGGCCATTTATTGTGAGATTTGAGCAACAACCTCCTTCCTTCAGTCAGAGCATTGAAGATGGGTCATGGCTGGGTCTTCCAACATGACAACGACCCGAAGCACACAGCCAGGATAACCAAGGAGTGGCTCCGTAAGAAGCATACCAAGGTTCTGGAGTGGCCTAGCCAGTCTCCAGACCTAAATCCAATAGAACATCTTTGGAGGGAGCTGAAACTCCATGTTGCTCAGCGACAGCCCTGAAACCTGACAGATCTAGAGGAGATCTGTGTGGAGGAGTGGGCCAAAATTCCTGTTGCAGTGTGTGCAAACCTGGTCAAGAACTACAGGAAACGTTTGACCTCTGTAATTGCAAACAAAGGCTTCTGTACCAAATATTAACACTGATTTTCTCAGGTGTTCACATACTTATGTTCAGCAGTGCAAGACAAATACATTCTTTAAAAATCATACAATGTGATTTCCTGATTTTTTTTTTTTTAATTCTGTCATTCAGAGTGGGAATGCACCTACAATATGAATTCTAAACCCCTCCATGATTTCTAAGTGGGAGAACTTGCAAAATCGCAGGGTGTTCAAATACTTCTGTTCCTCACTGTATCTTTCAAAAGTAACACCAAGAGTGATATCACTACTGTTTGGGCATATTTTAGCAGAGTGACCTCATTATTCTCCAGTTACAAATTACATTTACAGTAGTACCACTACTGATCTGCAGATGAAAGTTCTATTTTTACTTTCGTGACATAAGTTATTTGAACAGCATTCTACAGATATGTTCTGTCTTACAGGAGTGAAGCCTCTACATATCATATACATTATATGTTGCTACAGGATAACAGCAATACAAATACAAACATTAAATCAGTCAGAGGAAAATATTCATCTAAGCAAAGAACCATGAATTTAGTCCTTTTCCTATACAAGCATTCACAAAACTTTATTTATTTATTTATTACAGGTACTTTTATAGAGCTGTCCATTTACACAACACTTTACATATATTGCACCAGGTTCTCCTAGAGTATAGCCTCATAATTACATTCATGGTAGGATACTTGCTGCAACTGCATTGTGAAAGTAAAGATTTTCCTTCCCTTATGGGACCTCCATTTTATATACGTGGTACACAGCTTGACAAGACTGCATTTTTACAAACTGCTTGGCTCTTGTGTGAATTCTCACTACTTGCATGTTCAGCATTTAAAACTAAATAGACATCACTTGCAGAAGGAGCTAGCCATAGCCAGGAAATACTGTTTCGCCTTATTTATACATAAAATAACATGGCTTTTGTGCTAAACAATATATATCCATATGATGATGACAGTAAACCTTAGCAGATCATATATCTTCTATAAGAGATTGAATATACCTAGCCTGAATGACAAGTCAGTGATTGCACCAAGGCCAAGGTTGGATTCAGCAGTGTTATTAAATGTCAAGTCTTCTTGGCTCTCCCATCCATCAGACATAATAGTGCTGAAGTGGTTCAGTACAGCCTGACTCACAGCTGCAGAGAAATCATCCCAGGTTGTATGTTTATGGATGCGAAGGTAGCAGATGTCTTCGCTTTCAAAATCACTTGCACTGTGGTATATCCGAACATTATCATCAAGAGAAATTCTAATAGGAATCCTAAGGGAATCTGGAAGAAAATTAAATTTCTTGTAATTTAGATTCACACATTCCTTCCTTGTGCTACTAATGAGGATGGGGAAAGAAAGACTCTACATTGCTCAGGGCATCCAATCACATTCCAACTTTTTTCCTGACCTGTCATTCGACTTACCACTGGAATCTGGTGACTACAGATGCACATTTTATACATATTATAGAGGCCCTATGGACCAGTCACCTATTCTGATACTATACTGAACTTTCCTCTAATATATATGACTAGTCAGCGTTAAAATACTACTGCCTTTAACTGTCAGAAAAAATACAAATCAGATCATTTTACAAATATGTCACAGCAGGGAGAGCAGCTTTTTCAGTAAGCTTAATATTTACATCGTGGGAAGGTGCAGTTATGTTAATGGAAGCATCTAGTTTCTAGATCACGTAAATGCATTTTAATCAAAGGTATAATCAAAAGCCTTCTAGCATCAAGGGTGTGAAAAGGAGATAAGCTTCCTTAAGCCAGCCATAGATGACCACCCATGTTTGAAGGAATGAAAATTTCAAAATCTATGGGCTGCTTTACTCTCTATAGCACACAGCTGATAAAGTCATAGTTGGACCTTCACAGTGTTTTCCATGTACAGTGTGTTGAATATTTGTTGTGACTATGACCTGTAGAACATAGAAATATTTCAATTTCATTATTTACTATGAATATGGGAGAGATTGCCAGTGGAAAATGTGCACAATGAAGGTATACTTTTTAATATGTTAAGCCTAAAATTTTAAAAAAATATTAATCCCCACCCATAATCTAATCTAAAACCTAACTACACCCATAATTAGAGAAAACATCCCCATTCTAGCTAATGACAGCTCATTCAATGGTCTTAAATTCATTACAATTCAATAAAATAAGACAGTCAACAGGTATACTGAAGGAGAAATTATGCATACTTTTTAAACCAAAAATGATAAAATTTTTAAATATTATAAATGTATATAGTGTGTTCAATATTCTATATATTGCACTGAACCTAGTTTCTATACACTGTGAGGGTTATATTGACTAGTGTGGGCAAAATGCATAGACATGAGAATATACTATTTTTTTTCAGCATATTGTATTCACACCAATATGTTATAGTGTGATATGTAAAAGTCCTGTTTAGTGTATTTTGGTTGCACTAACCTACATTTTGCCATTCAATTTAAACAAGCACCGAAAAAGACATATGTCAGTACAATGCAAGCAAAATTATGAGACAATAAATTCACTGTTGCTTTTAGAAAGCATAACAGAAACTTAATCTAGCCATGCATGTAAAGATTTCTCTAATTTGGCCCAAGATGAGCCTGGATGAAGGAGCCCCACCCTGCTGGGTATTGTATTCAATAGCAGGACCAGCGGCTCCTGAATACCAGAGCAGTGAGTGATTCTGATTGGATGTAGTCACTGTTCAGCTGACGGTTTAACACCTGGCTCCTTTGACAAAAGTCTATTTAGAAAATGTACTTTTGTAAAGTCGGATGGCGAAAATAGGGTCACCCTCATTGCAAATTTCAGCAGATTCCTGGTGAAAATTGGAGCCATGTATGGCCAAGCTTCAGATCCTCAAAGCCTTCTGAAATTTAGTGCGTCTCTATCTGAAGATAAAGTGATGATAATCTTTCCTTCAGACAGTAATAGGATTATGTGGTAAGACTTTCCGACTATGTGAGATCTATACAGCTTAAATGTCAAGCCACCAGATTGAGAGGACAAATAAAGAGTAAAGTTCACTCACTCAAATTCTCCAGGAGCTGTTTGCAGTCATCTGTAGCTACATCATGAACTGTCCTGTTACACTTGTCTTGTTTTTCTGGCTCCAACCCAGAGTGACTACACAGGATTTCTAAGCAATCCTGGAGAGATCAGATTAGTTAGAACAGAAGATTAAGGCCTAATCAGCATGTCCATACATAACAGAGATATGCCAAAACCTGTAACTCCAACTGTTACATTTGAATTATATATTGCCAGGTCATCAATAACTTTAAACCCCTAAAAAACCTCTGCTTTCAGATTGTGGGAATTGTAAGGTTTTATGATGGAGATTCTATAAGCACAGAAAAAGTAAGCATTTTGTTGGGGGTAAAATATTACTGCATAAAATATTGAACCAGGAAAAATACAGTCTTTTAGTGGTTAAAGTAAACCTTTCAATCATCTAGACAGTTAAAATTGAGCATAAAAATCCAAAGATCCAGAAATATAGGCAGTAAAATTAGTACAATCAACACTATTCTAGTAAAAGATGAGCTTTGCCCTAGCCCTTCCTGCCTCTTAAGCCTCCCTATAAGCCTTACTTATCAACAGAAAGCCTGTGAGGGGCAGGGCCAGGATTCAGAAACATATATCTCCATATCTACTGATAGTTTTGATATGCGGCTTCTACTGCAGGTAAAGCTTAGGTTATGTATTATGCTTATTAAAAAAATTCATATATTTGTGCCAGGTTTACTTTTCAGTAAGCTACAACAGGCAAAAATATACAACCAAGCTGTTTTAGAGATGAGTACAATTTTGGGGCCTTATTTTGTCCTTGGAGCACTTGTCTTATACAAGTCTATAGCTGCACACTTACAACCCTTTTGCTATGGCTAGGCAACCTATATATCTGGCTATTATATTTTTTTCATTTTTATTAATAAAGGTAAAGAAAATGTAAAAAAAAATACAATAAGCCGTTAAGAGCATATAAACTTAGTGAAGTCAGATCAGGAAACTGCCAAAGTAATTTTATTTGTTCATCTCTAGATATTGGACAAAGTAAAAATGACCTTGTGAGTTAACATTCAGCTGCTCTTTGCTGACTTTGGAGGAAAAAGAATAATGATGCTTTGAAGCATAAAGTACAGAATAAAATTCAGCAAAACAGATGGGGAATTATGTTTTAGGACTGTGCAAATGTAGCAGCACTAACTAGCTGCTCTAGGATACTGCTGCTGGCTGGAAAACAAAAGCTCTGTGTTATTCATACATTCGAAAGCCCAAGTGATAAAAAAAATTCCTTAAGACTGGATTCTCACCTATGCATTTATATTTATGTGTTTTCCATTGAAATCAATGGAGCATCCAATGCAACTACTACAGCTTTCAACTACCAGTTTTCACAAGTTACTAAAGTGTAGGAAGAATCAATGAACTACAAAAGCACTCACCAGCACCCCCATGGTTCAATGAGAACTACAAGCCATCAGCCACAATGGTTGACAGTATTTGTAGTTCATTCACTCACAGAATGAATGACGCAGCCAGGTGGGCGAAGCCCCACGTGGCCACACTCTTTTTAAATTGTCAGCAGGTGTGGGGAGAAGATCCCCCGCACTCTGTCACAACAGAGGCTTAGGGGTGAGGGGGGTTACTGATTTAGTTGCATGTTACAAGTGGAAAGACCATACCCCAGCTCAACTGTTACATTCAACGTTCAATAGCTGAAGATTGGTGCTCTGGCTGGTATGTTCCGTCCCCAGTGCAATTATTCCATAATAAGAAAAGCTGGCTTCTCATACTCCCCAATGCAAATCTTTATTGGCTACATATCAAAAGACACTGTGTATTTACACGGTGTTTCTTTTGATATGTAGCCAATAAAGATTTGCATCATAAAATAACCAAGTGATCGGCTTTTCTTATTATGGGTTACATGTTACACCCTGAATAACATGTAACATGTTATGAAACGTAAACTTAACTTTTAAAATACAGGGTGACCATACACAGACAGAATAAACAAGGCAGATTCCAGTATCAGCTGCAACATTTGGTCATGCAAAAAAGCCGAGATGTGTTAAAATGTAACAAAAATGAAAAACAAAAATGTACTATATTGCATTATACCAGTCCAGTGCTTAGATGATGGCCGTATTGCTTTCTTTTTCAAGATTTTTTCCATTGCTTTCACCAGGATGTCCTGCCTGTAAGGCCAAGGTCACACCAGTTTTCACCAGGAGATCCTGCCTGTAAGGCCAGGGTCACACCAGTGTGCTGCAGTTTAGGCGTAGAGTGATTATATGCGTGACCCCATTGACTTGTATTAGTTTTCATGAAAGGGCATCAAAGTCCTGCACACTGCTTCTTTGATGCTCTTTCAGAAAATGCATGATCTAATGGAAGCCAATGGGATTGTGCCTAAAACTGCATGTAAAACACACATGCAATCACCCTGCTCCCAAACCGCACTAACGTAAACATATCCTAACACAAATTTGTACCCACAACACTCACTGCACTGTATCTGTGAAAGAGCAATGTTGTGTGCTATCATTAATTCTACTCTACTGGTTTAGACTACAAACGCCTCTTCCTCCAGTCGTCTCCATAACAAAGGATAGATGTGTTCTGTAGTCCACAGAAGAGGATTGGGAAGGCTAATAGCATTGTTTGGGATTTCAGTTTAGTGCACAACAGTTACAATGACAATGGATTTCTTTCAAGAACAACAACAGGTATTTTTCTGTACTTGCAAAAAATGTACTTGGCATGAAAAAAAAACCCCAAAACAACAATGTAGTCACCACATCTAATTACTGGTACATACAATATATTGCATTGTTATTCTTGGGCTTAGATATTCTTTAAGTGCTTTTCAGCACTGGAAGCATATTATATCTTGTTCATTAGATATATAATGGCATAGATGGCAGTGAACCCTGGAGATCCAGTGAGGTCGCAAACTGCCCACTATTTTATTAGATTCATGATGCCTGCACATGGCATATTCCATGCAAGCATAGCATTCAATCAGAAATCACTTAAAACATAGCAGCTTCTCTACGTTGATAATGAGCACTTCAATCACCACACCATATAAAGTCAGGATATCACTGCATATGGAGATAATAAGATTACAGAACTGCAGTTGCTAAGGTAAGCCATTGCTTAATCAAATTTTTTCCTTCCACCACAGGTAGAAGGAAATAAAAACATTTGATCAACACAGTCAATGCTGACGGGGGAATACGTGCTGCAGTGAGAGGAGCAAGAGGAGCTTTCCCAGCCAGCAGAATACAATCATTACTGCTAGCAGCTATAGGTGCAAGCAGTAATCGAATGCTAAAAATCCGACAGACTGGTTGTACTCAAGTCGATCGATAGATCAACTTTTGTACAATCAGCCTGTCAATAGATGGATCGAATCTCCCTGCTGAACCAGCCTAGACTGAATCCATCTATGGCTGGCTTAACAGCCAACACCTCAAGTAAGGAGAAGATTGTAGTGGGTCCTCCCAATGCAGTTTTGCAGTCTGATGTTTTACAATCCATTACCTATCTGTTTATGACCAACCTTACCTGTTACTAGTGAAAAATGTCTACATATATCTAAATATACATCTTAAGAGAAAACATTTATGTCTAATCTACCATTAGAAACAATAGATGAGTGACAGTATAGAAAGTGGAGTAGAGTAAACACCTACAACAATTAATGAAAAGCAGGCAAAGCTTTCATGCCAATACTTTCTATACAGTTTTCAGATTAGTTGCACTCTGCTTGCCATCTTTTATATGCAAATAGAAATGAGAGATACACAAACATTTCATATGGGTCATTATTGCTGAAGGCAATTGATCTGCATTTAACAAAAACATGAAAAGCCTTTAAGAATGGATCACTGCACTTTGGAGGTATTAGCCATTACCACAGATGAGACTTATTTTAACTTCCCCACTGAGAGGAAACTATAGAGATGTCATCAGTGAGAACAAAGGAAATTGAACCCTGGATACCAGCACACAGGAAGTCATTATTATAGTAATTACGTGTGAAGCAAGTACTTGTTTTTGTTAACTTGCTCATACATTAAGTCTGTGACTTTCTGATTAGGGCTTTAGGTGACAATACAAATCCACCCAACCACCATCTTGAAAAGTTTACAAATTACTATTCCTGACATTTAGCAGACCTTTAGGGTATGTACTGTACATATATGCAACTGTCACTCATGAGTCAAACCTTCGGAAGATTTACCCTGACAGACCTGTGATCAAACAGAGCACTGGGTAGAGCAGCATCAGCATCTGTCATGCACAGTGAGCAGAGGTCTTCAGAGAATGCAGAAAAGCGATAGCTTCACTAATTATTCATGTATATTGAGGCCTTTAACCATTTCTTTACTGGGGTTGAGATTAGGAGGCATATTTTACCAGTGTCCGTATGAGGTAGTTCATTTAAACTATAATTCATTGGATACATTGTAATTTTGTTACCTAATTTTATACTGTATTGCTTTTAGAGAAATTATTTTGAACACTGTTTAACAAATAGTCTGCTCTGATTGTTTTATTGTCCATTGATACAATGACAAAAATGTGATAAAACTTTAACTGCCTCTATTTCTTTTTAAACTAATGTATGTGTTGTAATGATTGCTGGTACAGAATATCATGTAACCACAATGACATTAATGTTTTGACTTGGTCGGGAACTGTGCTGACTGTTGCTAGGAAATGTTACTATAAGAATTAGGTGCAGGAATCTATTAAAAAAAGATATCACCAAAAGATAAAAAGAGTGTTAAATCCCCCAGGGAGCCCACAGCAGGTAGCACTTGGCCCCATCTGGGCTATGCAGTGGCTTGTTCAGCAAGCATGGTTGCCAGTAAGCCCCCTTAACCCATCACTGACTGACCATGCCACTAACAAGGAGACTAATCTATAATTAGGTCTGATTGACGGGCACACAGAGGAGAGGGGGCACCAGCTACTATGCCATTCTCTCTCCCCAGAATAATGGTCAGCTAACAGGTGTGTCTAGCTCAGTCTTTCCCCTGGGGAAAATAGAGAGGGGTAGAGTGCATGAGGCACAGGGCTGGAAGATTAGATGGCAAAGCTGCAGAATGAGGGAGTGGTGTCTTCAGTGTTGTGCTGTAGGCATCCATAGGAACGACCATAAATTGGGCTTCGGCTTAGGGAGAAGCTACAGACACAATGTGCTCCTGTGTCTTTTGTGGTGACCTTAAATTTAGCAGTCTACTGAGTTTACTCTGTGTACCATTTATGTATTTATACAAGGTAGTCATATCACCTCATCTGTAATCATCCCTCAGCCATATACTGTACATACATAAAAACGCAGCGAGCTGACTTAATGCCTGTTATTTAATCAAAGGCAGCACACGGTTATCAATCCTTATCATCATCTGTAAATGTAACATCCTCCAAATATTTCCAGTTATCATACACTCCTGTTAATTTAGATAATCTTTAAAAACTACCTTGAATCCTCTTGATGCAGCTATATGAGCGGCTGTCCATCCTTCACTGTCTGTACTATTGAGAATAGTTGCAGAAATAACAGGTCTGGGGTTACAGCTGTCATTGTTCTTCAGATCAATCTCTTCACTGGTATCAAAGTGACTTGCATAATACATTAGAAGTTTCAGACAGTCGCTGTTTCCAGAATCTGCAGCAGCATGAACTGGTGTCCAACCATTCTTTTAAATTTAAACAAAGCATAAAGCACTGAATATATCACACGGGACAACTTCAAATTAGCAGACAATATTAGCAATAATGAGGAACTGGTAATACTTTGCTTGCAAAATTGAATATGCCTCTGTTTCATCAAACAAACTTTCAGATGCAATCTGAAGGAATTTCAGTTCTCTCAGTCTGAACAGTATTGGTCCATACAGCACAGACAAAGATAATGGGTTTATATGGAAACTATTTTCAACATACCCACATTCATTCTTTTAGTTCCAAACAAATATTCATGAAATTAATTAGAATTTATTGGTATCAAAAGTCACTTTCTCTCAGGGGCAAAGAAAGTATATCAAACCCATGAATTCAATTTAGTTGAAAAACACTTTCTATGAGTTTAGTTCACCATGGGGGTATGTCTTCAAGCAGCCCTAGGCTCAAAGGAAAATGCTGTAGAGAATGGCAATACAGCATTGCATGGTGATATTCTCTGCAGCAGGGGTCTCCAAACTTTCTAAACAAACAGCCAGTTTACTATCTTTTAGACTTTAGGGGGGGCAGATTGTGCTCAGTGGGAATAGACAATGTCCCATCTTTGGTAATAGGGTTAGAAGTAATTTGTGTCAGTAGAAGGAATACTGCCCCACTGTTGGTGTCAGTGGGAGAAACAGGGCCCCGCTGTTAGTGTCAGTGGGAGGAATAGTGCCCCAACGTTGGTGTCAGTGGGAGGTTTGTTGCCATATCGTTGGTGTCATTGTGAGGAATAATGTCCAATTGTTGATGTCAGTGGGAGGAATTATACCCCATAGTTGGTGTCAGTGGAAGAAATAGTTCACCACTGTTGGTGTCATTGGCAGGAATGATGCCCCATTGTTGATGTCAGTGGTAGGAATTATGCCCCATTGTTGGGGTCACTAGAAGGAATAGTGCCCCTATTGCTTGTGTCAGTGACAGGAATAATTGCCTCAAGGGCTGGGTAAAGGCAAGCAAAGGGTCGCCTTCCGGCCCACAGGCCGCAGTTTGCAGACTACTGCTCTGCAGCATTGAGGTCCAGCCCACCATCAGTAGAGATATGCAGTATTTGGTTAAATAGTTAGAGATACTTCTACATTTATCTCTAAACAGTGTTTTTGTGACACATTGGCTAGGACAGTGTGCGAGCATCACCAAGGTTTTTGACATATGGTGAGGGGGGTCCAGGGTTTAATAATGATATATAGAAAACAAATTATTTTGGTTTTCTCACAATCCTAATAAGTCCTGTTCTTGGTCCTGAAACCTAGAGGCTTTGTAGATCTTTGGGTGGAAATCCATTCCTAGGTCCATATATTACTTGGTAGTCAGACCTCTTTCATAGTCTCAGCAGTTCACAAGCGTTTATACAATGTAAGTTGTTGTTATGAGCACCTTCTTAAATTGACAGGACTAATTTGTGCACCCTATGAGCACATAGCCAGTCTGTGAGAGCCAGAATTGTTGGTTGGTAGGGGATCAAATACTTATTTTACTCACTGAACTGCAACTCAATTTATAACATTTGTATCCTGTGTTTTTTCTGGATTTTTGGTTGATATTCTGTTTCTATCATTTGAAATACACCTATAATAAAAATTAAAGACCCTTCATTTCTTTGTAAGTGGGCAAACGTACAAAATCTGCAGGGGATCAAATAATTATTTTCCCCACTGTAGCCCACTTCTTCAGACGAGATAACAAATGAGGATATTTATCTCATTTAGGTTTGGTGGAGTTCCCTCTCCCTGAAAACACTCTAAAACAAAATGGCTATCATCTCTAGAATGACAGGCTCATGGACACTGGGTCTCCTCAGGGAAGCCCTCTGAGAGTGTGCTGGACAGTGCGAGAGTGAAGTCCAATTTTATGAATATTTAGTTTAAAGCTGAAGTTTCATGTGCTTATATTTTGCCTTCCCTGTTTCCCTTCCCCCCCCCATCAACATGCTAATGAAATGTGTAAGGTGTAACTAAAGGCAAAACATTCTTTTTATTTGGATAAAGCAGTGAGGGGTTAGAACCACTGTCTGGCTTGTACTGCTCCCCTTGTTATTAATTCTCTGTTAGGGTGATCCTCTTGTTCTCATACCAGTGTCATCAGGAATGCAAATGAGGGCAAATCAAACTCCTTTTTTTGTGATCCAGCTTCCTGTTAGAGGGTGGCTACATTTATTCTCTATGGTTCCACTGTAAATAGGAGCATAACCACCCCCCACTTTTTCACTCATGAGATGGGCTAGGGACCAAGGGATGTGTAATGTGCATAGAGCAGTGGACATGAACACAACTAACATGTGTGGTTTGTTTCAAACAGAAGTGAGCAGAAGAAGAAGTTCGGGAGCTTCCGGAAGACATTACAAGAAGGCAGAAAAACAGTAAAAAACTATTTCAGGAAAAAAAAAAATAGATCACAGGGCCATTAAATACCTAATGCATATGGAATATTTAAACAAAATAAGGGTATCATTAGTGTTACAACATTTGTCAAGTCATCAAATATACTGAGAATTTTTATACGTATGTTCATACAAATGTTTTTATTAACATTTGTTGGAAAAATCTACTAGTGTATGGCCAGCTTTAGCCCTGGAATTTCAAACAATATGCCCTTTTTGTAACTTTATTAAAAAGGCCCATAAGCACAACAAAAACCTATGCAGTAGGGGACCCTTTTTCATATGTAAGCAGCTTGAGGTATACTTACATTGGTTTCAATACTCCGATCAGCTTCAGAGTCCAGCAAAAGTTTAACTAATTCAAAATGTCCATTTGTACTAGCCAGGTATAAAGGGGATTTTCCTCCATCAGCATAATTAATATCAGCATTGTATGCAAGCAACATTTCTGCACACCTGAGGGCAAAAAAGTTAACAACAAACATTTTTATGGTCCACATTCAGTATACTATTAACAGAATGCCAATACACTTGTCATTTATAGTAGTACAGTGTTAAAAGTCATAAAAAAGGTTAAAAAGTAAGCCTATCTGGTTGAGTTTCAAATGTGCTTAAATGTAGAAAACTCTAATGTTATACAGTGCCAGTGTACAGAAGGCATCCAGGTTGCCATAGTGAATTCTACAATTTTACAGAAAATTACAATGCTGCAGATTGAAATGGAAAGGTAATTTTTAGGAACAATAAATTACAATATGTTTTATAGGCTATATTTTTTTTAATTTGCTATATTTTTTAACCTCCCTGGCGGTATGATTATTTCAGATTTTTGGTGCTGAAAGCGGTACCATTTTTTTGCATGGAAATATGTATTTTTTTTTTATTGTAGGCTGTAATTTTTAGGAAAAACTCACTGAAATCTGTCCGAACAAGAGTCTAGTAAACATCCCGGGTATGATAAAATTTGAAACACAAAATCATAAATTATAATTTAATAAATAATCATAAAAATAATATAAAAATAATAAAAAATTTAATTCAATAATATAATCAAACCAAAAACACTGAAATGTGAAATAGAGCGCCAAGTTCGCACATTGCTGAGCTCAGTCGCAAAATCGTTTTCAGTGTCTGATGACGAATTTCCCCCACGAATCATTATCACTCAATTCTGTAAGTGGTTCTGATTTACTATCGCTGTTCTCTAGCTGATCTAAACCGCTTTTGACCTAAAGGGACACTTTTTGGACGCCATGGACATTTCTCAGTTTCCAGGCAGAAAGAACAGACAAAATGCAGGCAGGGCGCAGGACAAAGCACTAGGGACAATATGTATGTGAAATAGGTTGAAACAGCAATGTTTTACTGTGTAAAATGAAAAAAAAAAAAAAAATGACATTTTTTAAAATTTTTAAATTTCCCGCCACCGGCGGCGGCGGCGCCCGTACGTCCCGACGTCACAGGGACAGGACACAGAAGCCGGATGCCGGCATCGGCGGAGGAGATGGCCGGGGACACTGCAGGGGACACATCGTGGGAGCGCAGGGTAAGGTAAGTGAAGAACACATGCCGGAGCAGCGCCGCATGGTATTCCCGAGTGTAGCTCGGGGTTACCGTTTTTGGTACTGAAATGTTACCCCGAGCTACACTCGGGAATACCGCCAAGGAGGTTAATCAACAAAAATGAAGTTACCATCGAAGTTAAGACTTTTCTTTATAATTTATAAATCACTTTTTTTTCATTTTATAGCATGGAATCACACTAATCGGTTTTCCTACCCTGAAATAAAATTTGCAATGGGTTACCGTACCTTTAAAATCATTGCCATTTGAACTGCTGCATTGAACAAACCTGATAATAATGTTTGTGGGGCCATAACAGGCAGACCCCCTTAATTTGCAACAGTTTACTGAAGTCAAAATTCTAGGGAAATTAATAAACAAATTCAGCATATCAATATATGCACGTACTTATGTTTTGTTATGCATCTTTTATGCCCATACCTGCAATTTAAACTGGCCGATTCAGGTCAGAAAACTGGAACACGAAAATGTCAGAATACATAGAATTTCATAGGCCAATAATTTTTGTTAGGTAGAGTATTTTTCGAAATCATAGATACAGTGCCTTGAAAAAGTATTCATACCCTTTGAAATTTTCCACATTTTGTCATGTTAAAACCAAAAACGTAAATTTTATTGGGGTTTTGTGTGATAGACCAACACACAGAGGCACATAATTGTGAATTGGAAGGAAAATGATAAATGGTTTTCCAAATTTTTTAAAAAAATTGAGCAGACACAGATGTGTTGTCCATCTTCTCTGCTCTGCTCACCAGGGGATCCCCTGTTGTGAGTGGATCCTCTGTTAATCAGGATGCATTCTGCTCAATCTGAAAGGGGCCTAAGGGTTAATTAGTTCAAAAGTGTTGCAAACACTGCAGATTTTCTCATCAGAACACCAGCTGATTATAATGAACCAGTTCCTCCATCTTCAGAACAGAAACAAGTAGGAATCTTCTACAAGGTAAAAACCCATGCAATGCACATTGATCAACCAGAGGGAATTGTTAGTTAGTTTGCTTTTGTTTCTTTTCAATAAAAGTGGGAGTTACTCTTTAGGTGACATGATTTCAGCTAAAGAAGGGGTTCATTGTTGAGACAGAGTTGCTGATTGGTTTGATGTGTCTGAAAGATAGTGAGTTAAGCCCCTTTGGCAGGGGCCACATGACCAATGCTTCAGTACTTATTTATATTTGTTTTCTATATAGTTATAGTAACTTATAGTTAAAGTAATTTAGTTTAGTTATAGCAGAAAATAAATGAGTCATCAATCCATGAACAGTTTTCTCTGCAATGTTGTTTATAGATAGTCAGATGAATTGTATTAGCCCCCTGGTTTTCGATACACATTTATAGCGATGTCCCTGTAGGAGATGTTACCAACATCAACAGATAGCGGAATATGACTATTACCTATCTAGACTAATGCAATGAGGCTGTCTCCAGTTTCTGCATAACCTAATATACCGTGTCTTAGACTCTAGTGGGCCATTGAAAAATATATCTCCAATAAGACTGTTAAGTGTTGTAAAATAATTCTGAATATTAGGTCTCTTACTTTGCATGTCCCTGAGCAGCTGCTGCACATAAGGCTGTAAAGCCATTTGAAACAGTAGCGTCTACTTGAGCTCCTGACATCAGCAGCAACTTTACACAGTCTGCATGGGAACAAAAATAGAGGGTGAGAAAATGGTAGAATACAATTTACAAAGAAATGTGTTATAAAAGCTTGTAGTTAAGACCAATAAATATTTTACAGCTTCTACCTTAATTAAAGTGGAACTAAACCCAACAATTTAATTGTTTCAGTTACATGTTATGAATGATAGCTGTCACAGGTGCCTGTGCTCTCAACTGAACTGTTAAGCAATCAAATGGCTGAGGTCATAACTGATCACACGTTCAGCACCATAGCAACTGCGGATCAAACAAAAGCTAAGATGGCAGTTTCCTTGGCTGTAAAGAATAGAAGCGTTTAGTTCCACTTTAAGATTAAAATAGAATAGAAAGATACAGTAAGTAAACATTTAGAAACCATCTTATACTAGATTGCTTGTAGTGTATTTAAACTTTTGATCACAAATTGGAATAACAGCTACTTATCTGTTACATGTCGTCATTGACACAGCATAACTTAATAAAAATAAGCTTACCTTTCAAGATGCTTTTTTTCTGCATATTCCAGCAATGTAAAATCCTACTGGTTCTCTTTGTTTCTGAGCGGCTGGGGAGTGGTGTTTATATATAATAATTAACCCGGTCTGTACTGTGCTGGCAGATATGTCATCAGTTGTAAACTACATTTGAACACCAACAGGGGAATTCATAAAGGGTGTTGTAGACACCCTCTACAATTCTGTTGGGGCACAACACTAAGTGTCCCAGCCAGCTCCATGAATGTGTCCATGTCTGCACTGGGGAAGCGAACACTCCTTCCTCAATGCACACACTACTCCTCGGTCACTGTGCCTATAACACAGTCAGGCACATTGCCAAGAAGCTCTATACTAGGGGTGGGCTGAGCTTGATGGGGAACTAAGAGACTAGTTCCCCATCAGGTCCAATTCACTTTTGACCATAGCAGCAATTCAGTCCAATAACGGCTTTCAAATCGGCCCACTGCCGCGCACTGTCAATCAAAAGTAGATTGGACTCGATGGGGAACTAGTCTCTCTGCCCACCCAGTGAGAAGTAATTTTCCAAATATAGACATTGCCCATATTTGGAGAATGACATCAGCTGTTTTCCTGGCCCTTTTGTTTACATTTAGCTTTTGCTTGGATAATCTGTCAGACAACAGCTAAATGAGGATGTGGAAATAGCTCTGTGCTGGAAGCTCTCACATACATGACAGTTTCCCAGCACAAACATGGAACATCTCAGAGCTGGCCTTAATTACCAAGTTTTCTAATCTGAGAACTGCCATTCTTTAGGAATTTGTTGCAGCCATAGCATCAGATTTTTAAGGCATAAACCTGGGTACACACTATAAGAAAATCAGAAGAAAAATTCCGCACAAGGAACAATCAGTTGATTGTCTGATCGTTAGTATAGCTCTTTTAACCGAAAAAAAAAAAAAAAAAACGTGCAAGCCAGAAAATGTTTATTTTATGTGAACATAACATACGATTTTTGCTCAATGTGTATATTAAATGCATGGAAATAATTGAATAGAAAAAAAAATGTCCATGATCAGAAGCAAAGAACGACCCAGAAGAAGGTGGGAACGAACATCGAAATCGAAAAGAACATTTGACTTTGTTGTTTGGGAATTTTTGTACCAGTTAATACCATTGTCGGTTATATCACGATATGCACCTTGGAAATTGGACGATCATTTGCCTGATTTGCTCATAGTGTGTAACCCACAACTTAACCTATTAATTTAACAGTTTCAAAAAACAATTAAATTCCCAGCATGCCGGGAATGCTATCTGCCATATTTGATTGTGTTCTCAACCAAACTGTCAAACCATCAAATGGCTGGAGTCATAACTGATTACATATGCAGCACCATGGGAGCTGCAGATCAAAAAGAGGCTAAAATGGCAACTTCCTTGGCTGAAAAAGATAGGATGGTTTAGTTCCTCTTTAAAGTGGCAGTAGAAAGAACTACCTGCATCTTCTATATTGCCGACAATGGTGCAACTGCTTGCCTTAATTAGGCACAGGTAGTTCTTAGGGAAACTGCTGGCAGAAAACTGTTAAAGCCTAAGTTTACCTAAAACAAAAATTATCAGCACAAGGGGCATTACACACCTTCTATGAATAAAGCATGATCTATGAATAGAAGGGTGGGCCTTTCACTCATTGGCCATTCATAGGTCATGTTTTATTCACAAAAGCTGTAGTACCATCTTCTAGAAATGGATGAGCTGGGCAAGAAAGGTGGGCATAGTTTTGCACCCTTGATTAGTACCTGGGACAGCCTGTTATTAATCACTGCAGCACTGAAAGATTATGTTAGCATGGGTGGACATTGAAGGAGGAAGCTATTGTTCAAGGAACAGCACAGCAGCACAAGGCACATACAGTTTCTCAGTGAAGATAACTAATGTCCCTTGTGTACTTTTTTGTTTTAGGTAAAACTTATGCTTTAAGCATTTAGGCGTGGTTCACACCTTGTCATTTTTATGTGCATTTTGTAACATAAAAACATGTGTCACAAAAATATATTGAGACCAATCCGGCCGTTCATATACGTTCTCTGTGTTGTACTGCATTGTTAACAGTGAGGCATATCCAATTTTAGATGCATTTACATAGCATTTTCTGGTGCACTGATGAACCATATAAACTCGCCCACTCCATGAGACTCCAGTCTTCTAGGAAGCAATAAGCAGTGATCAAGACAGAGAAGGGAGAAGTCACAGCCCTGTACTATACTCCAAGATATGGAATTTACAAGTAAGTCAAAATCCCTATTATCCTAATCCTACAGTACAAGACTTTAAATCATTGGACCTACTCAAGTAATAAATTGAGAAGTGGGCAACAACACAACAAACAGAACTGCTAACATGCTCAAAAATAAACAAAAATTAAAAAATACAAACAAGGAGAGCCGAAGCTCTTCTCAGCCAATACCTCCCACCCACTAGCTACCTGCAACCTTCGAAAGGATTTTGGGAGGCTGTCTAAGCACCATCTCCATTAAACCTCTCTCAGAGAACTGCCTCCAACTATCTGCTTAAATGGTTCATTGACTATAAGCAGTGGTCTCATTGTGTGCATATATGCATGGCTATTTGTCCTTAAGCCTTATGCAAAGCATCTTAACAAGGCTGTGTACTACTGAAATCTGTTTCACGATTTTTAGCAAAATTGACAACTGAAGCTTTATGCAGCTGGGGGCTGTACATTTTCTAAACTGCTCCAGAAATCTCCTCCTCACAATGTTTCTCAATATATGGATCCTATAAATTCATCAATGAAGTCACTAAAAGCCTAATACTAAATTCAAGAACAGTGGGAGCAAAGAGGGAAAAGAGATCATCAGCAAGACTTAATAATGATCATGCGATTGGTGTATGGCAGTCTGTAAAATCTTTGTCTACCCCTTCCTATAGTATACACAGGTGGGAAGAAAGCACCTATTTTACCATCATACAGTCTCTAAGTTGCACCTTTTCCCCACTGGTATCAACTTGGCACATAAACTATTCACATTGGTATCCTCATAACATGAAAGGGCTCCTTGCTTTCCATCTCAACTACAATAGCTGCATGCTTGACCCAGAAATGTCTTTTCCAGTCAGTTCTATTAGATGTTACACAACTCGAACACAACACATAAAATATGTTTAGAACCATGAAAAAAATGTGCATATTTCAGACAATAAAGGGGACTAAATCAGAATTGAAAGCTAGCACTACATTAACTAAGAAGAAATACAAACACCAATATTTGATATCTTACCTGTATGTCCATTGGCAGCACAGAATACAAGGCAGTATAGCCATCTTTACATAAGTTATTTATATCCAGTCCTTCTTCATTAAGCAGCATTGACAATAAAGTGACATTTCCCTGGGCAGCAGCTTGGTGAAGAAGGGTGGACCTGTCTCCCAGGGGAACAGGTCCACCACTCGTTAGTAAAGAAGTTAGGGAGGGAGACCAGCCTGTGAGTCAAAGTAATATATGATAAGGGAGATAAAGATCCATAAGTAACACTGAAAAAATATAAATCATAAATTAATAAGTACCAGGGTCTGGAATTATTCATAAAAGGTATTTTTAGTATTGCAATTTAATGCTGATATTTTAACAGAGTCATTGTCAGGGAACACCTAATAAAGATTAAAGGATGTCCAAACATGCACTGGATTTTTTAATATTGTTTTATATGTTTAATTTTTATACTGTATGTATAGCAGTAATTATTTGTATAATGCATATTGGTTATATGACTAAATGTTAATATGAATAAACTTAAACTTGATTACACTTTGGGCTGAATTTACTTACGAAATGTAGTGCATATGCACAAAGGGCAAGTAGTATGCATGAACTTGGGTTCTCCTTGTAAAAAGACATTTAAAGCAGCACTGATAGGGTTTCCTTAAAATTCCCCAGCAATACAAACATAAGGTGAACATTACCAGTTTGGATCTAAAACTGAACTCCAGGAAGACAGATAAATACTGTACATATATTGAATAGGTTTTGGAGGAAGGGAGCGCTAAGACACATCTACCCTGTGTGCGTTTGGGGATGGACCATCAGCATTGGGGGTTAGTAGAAGGTCCATGTGGAGTTGGTGTCCAAGTCCATCTGTAGTGGGGGGCTTGTAGTAGTATGGACTTGTCCGAGAAGGCAGCCAGCTGTACGAGCTTGCAGATACTCCTAATGCAGGTATAGAAGAGAGACAGCAGCACCACTCTAAGTGTAGATGGTTAAAATCAGGCAGATTTAATGGTAAAATTGCACTCACATTGATAGGTAACAGGTAGGCATGTCAAGTGATGGAGGTCCAGTGGGAGCATCAGGTCCTTTGGCCACGCTCTGGGTGTTTTCCCGCCACTCCGGTGGTGTCCAGGGCTCAGGGAGTAGCAGCCATCTTAGTGTGGGCTTATGTGGGCCCATATAAGCCCACACTAAGATGGCTGCCGGATCGGCCTGATGAAGGAGTGAGCATGCTCTGAACGTGTGCCATCTTGGAAACCCGGTCCATGCAGTGATATCATCCCTGCAAGCCTCCCTGCGCCCCTCTGCTATTCCCCAAGCCCTGGACACCACCGGAGCGGCGGGGAAACACCCAGAGCACAGCCAAAGGACCTGATGCTCCCACTGGACCTCCATCCCTTGACATGTCTACCTGTTACTTATCTATGTGACTGCAATTTTACCATCAAATCTGCCTGATTTTAACCGTCTACACTTAGAGTGGCGCTGCTGTCTCTCTTCTCTAATTGAATAGGTTTTACCTGCTAAGGATTTGTATTTTTACACATCCATCCCTGTTTGACAGGGTAGACGACCTGATTTCTCCCTGCTACAGTTAAGTATTACAACTAGATGTTCCTGCACCCTGCCTATGACTACTAGCCAGTGAAGGAGAAGCAACAATAGGCTCAAATCTATGTCACTCTTTCTCCACCTATCAGCATGCTCTATGTTAGCATATGAGCATAGCAGCACAACTGATCCCCACAGTCATCCCCGCATCCCCCACAGTTATTACCTTTTGTATCTCTTGACCCTCACTCTTAGATTGTAAGCTCTAATAAGCAGGGCCTTCCAAATCCTACTGTATTAAACTGTATTGTAATTATACTGTCTGCCCTATGTTGTAAAGCGCTGCGTAAACTGTTGGCGCTATATAAATTCTGTGTTATAATAATAATAATAATATTATTATTAATTTTTACCCTCTCCCATGCTGGGCTGTTTACAGGGACCATGTAATATTCATGCTGTTACAACAGTTTAATGTTTTTTTATATATATATATATATATATATATATAAAAACATCTATTTAATGAATACAGAGCTACATTATTGTGCTTTTTATATATCTGTTTGAAGTTCAGCTTTAATTCATGATAATTGAATGCTATTGTGTGCATTGACTGGATTGCTCCTCAAAGGTTTCAAAGAAATCCTATTACTTGCGCTAGCTGAGTATGACCGCCATGCAGTGAAGACAACTAATATCAAGGGCACATGAGATAAAGTGTAAAAAGTGTCATGCAGTAAACTACATAACCACACACGTTTCAGATTATTCAGAACTGAAGATACTGATTTTCAACTGGATGATGTCAGTCACACTTTGCACATTGCATGGCAGATACTAAGCAAATATCTACAAAACCAGAAGGTGGTTGACTGATTGCACAACTGAATGCAATTTGTTTTAATCAGTTAGTAAATTCAGCCCATTCAGTTATTTTTAGCTACAGCCTTAGGAGAATATTTGTGGATTCTGGAAATTTTAGTGAACCAGCTGCCAAACAATTTGTGAACTCTAAAAGTGCCAAAAGACTGCAAGAAAAAAAAAGTATGAATCAGTAATCATGAGAGGAAATAATGTGAGCTTGATGAATCAGTCACTAATATTTTTCATGCAGATTACACAAATCTGCTAAATTGCATTTAAAGTGAACCTGTCAGGATGGATTAAAGCTGATCTCTCTTGTCTTAATGAAGGTTAAATCAATTGAATCAAGTTGGTCCAAAACAAACTATTACCTTCAGTACTAGATATGTCTGTTGTATAAACTGTAGGTAGTTTCAGCTACATACAGTGTACAGCTCTGTATTCTGGAAACTTCCAGTCCCACTCCCAGAACAAAGTCAAATCGGGCTGAGCACTACTCAACCATTTGCAGGGTGCTTTGTATTCTATAAATACAAAGCTTCCTTTGAATGGCGGAGTTGAAGATCATGTCATCTGCCCACCTTACCCAAGCTGGTCCAAAGGAACTATTTAACTTTGATTAAAACATGGATATTGGCTTTAAGCACTAATTCCAGGGCAGGCCATGACACCTTGCGTGATGCGGCAGAAGTTAGCATCGCTTCCTATCCAGTGATAGCCTTCAGAGCTATAGGGTAGATTCTATTAAGGTAATGATTCTGTTCCCTTTAACATATATCGAAGGCCAAAAATAATTTTTCTTCACTTTGGATAGAGTAGGGATAGCTAAAACACCCATTAGTCTGTTGTCATTTCTGTCCCACTGGGGAGATTACATGTTCTGTAGACACAAAAGGACTAGTCCCAGTGTCAAGAACCAACAGGACAAATAGAGGGATTGACTCTCCCTACCAGAGACACAAACCACAGTATAAACATGGCAGGGGGTCTACCTCTTTCTTTCTCTATCCAAATCTGTATAAATAAAAAAATAAAGATAATGTTTGGGCTTTAGATAAGATGAAATGGCCATTTTTAAAATGATCTTATCTTTGTAAAAAAAAGTAAACACCTAACATAGAAGTCATTGCAATGTGGATTATTCTATCTATACCATAAAGCAGTTTCTATATGTGATTTGTTCACAAATAAAATAAAACAATGCATAAACAAATCAAATGTATCATATAAAGAAAACTGATTAGCCAAAAAAGCACTGCTAAAAAGCTTACCAGCAAAGAAAGTGTGTCCACTTTACACGAGTATAATTTAATATACAAGACAGTTGTGAATTATTAGAAGCAAAAGAAAGATTTTTAAATACAAAAAAATCTATCAGTGAAGCATTTGCATAAGCCGGAAAAGCATGCAGCAATGGAAAATGGAACGGGGCAGAAGAACAGCTTCTGGCATCAGCTTCAGAATGTGGAGATGGTTAATTTGAGAGCCAAAATCAATACCTCAATCTTTTGACCCTACTTCCAAGCCAAATCACAGTCAGAAGATAAATTATTGCATTTTAAAGGAGGCAAAGACAGTGGTTTTACAATTTGAAGAAAATAATTGCAGTTTAATATGAAAAAAATGTCATGGGGTATGAAAATCTATGAGCTTAAAGTAACCAATAACTGAAATGCATCATGCTTGAAATAAAAAGGAAAAAATGAATCATCTGTAAAGCAAAATATAGTCAAATGACTGAATGTCTGTTTTTGGAGCTGCTGCAATTCAACTGAAATAAAAATTAATGAGTAAAAAAAGAAATTTGTGAACTGCTTGCAAATTTTATCAATCCAAACAACCACTAAACCTAAAATACAATTGTTTTTATATTTAAGTGGCAAGAATTAAGCTCGGACACATGTACACACAAACACAGTGTCTATATTTATACAATAAGGTGTTTATTTGAAGTGTTCCTAAACCCAAAAACAAAAATTGTATATATTTCAGCCTACCAGTCCTTAGATGTGGTGGCTCAATTCATTTTCACCTTTCAGGCCACCAATATTTTTAGCAAGCACAGAAATTACCTGACAGGCAGCAGTGGTTAGCACCCCTGCCTAGCAGCATTAGGGTCACTGGTTTGAATCCCAACCACGGCACTACCTGTCTGGAGATTGTATGTTCCCCCTTTGCCTGCGTGAGTTTCCTCCCACACCCCAAAGACAAGCTTGCAGGTTAATTGGCTCCTGACTAAACTTGCCCTGGTATGCATATTTATGAATGTGAGTTAAGGACCTTAGATTGTAAGATCCCTAAGGTCAGGGACTGATGTGAATATACAATATATATGTAAAGCGCTGTGAAAATTGATGGTACTATATAAAGTAAGTACCTTAAAGAAATAACTCTTGCCAGAAAAGTGGTATCCTTGTCACTTCCTGTGAGCTTACAAGAAAGCACAAAGAGCCTTATCTTTAGTATGTGAACAGCCGGTCCTATCCATCTTGTAATATAATGGGGATGAACAAAGGCAGACATCTTTGATGTCCAGCCTGTGTGACAACCATGGCTGTCCCCATAGATAAAATGGAGAAATAGGGCACAAACATGAAAGGACAAAACCCTTTTTTTTCAGGACTAACATGTAAAAAAAAAACATGAAAAATGTTTGAAAAAATAAATATAATGCAGCTAGCCCA